AATGCTAGCAAACATGGTGCACATCGCCACACAGACGTATCCACAACCAGCAGTTGTGGGCTGGCACCCTCAGCAGCCAAGTCACCAACATGGGAAAATTCTGGTGGGAAGACAAAGACCACTCAAAGAGGAATCAGACCCTTCCTCACCCCGGGGCTCCACACGGTGCCTCGCCTGCTGTTACCTGCTGCATCGGAGCAGCGGAGGAGCGGTGCCAGCAGAGGCTGGAGCAGGTATTTCTCTGCCAGCTGAGGGTGCTCTTTCGCCATGGTGAGCAGCGTTGTGGTGGCCACTCTCTGGAACTGGCGTGCTGTCAGCTTGTCCTGGATGTGCAGTAAGCCCAGAATCTGGAAGGAAAAGTCCGTGATATCAGAGCAAAGCTTTGCAAACGACTCCTCGCAGCCAACAGTGGAGGAGTCTCCGTGGTGCTGCTTTACAGGACACTGGGCACAACACCGCAGGCAGAGCAGCAGCTCTGTCTCATGCATGTGCCAGGAGGTGTTTCTGGGCACTGACCCTGCACCATGCCCACCGCTGAAGGCTGGGAGCCAGAGCCCCCCAGCACAAAGCTCCCTAAAGCGAGTGGCCTCATGTGGCCTGGAAGCGTTGCTCAGCATTTCAATAAAATATAGAAAATTCAAGAGCATAGTGGGAGCACATCCCACTGACAGAGCTGCAGGAAAACACATCTCCACACTGGGGCAGCCTGGCTCAAGCAAGGCAACGTGCAGGTGGTATCGACAGCAGACACTTGCCAAGCTGGGAACCTGAGAGTGCTCCCATTTTCACATTCGCAGGCAAAGCCAGCATGCCACGGGGAGGGAGGAGGGAAGCACCCACCTGAGGGCACACACGTTTGTAGTAGTCCTCCAGGGAAAGGCACTGCTGAGGGCAGGAAGCCAGGATCTTTGCAACCGCATCACATTTTCTCCAGTCCACAGCTGCTGCTTCAGCATCGGTGCCACCTGCTCCACGCACAGAAAGAGGAAAAGAAAGAGCTCAGCCAGACAGAAAACAGCAGGGACATTTTTGGCTGAACCCATTGTGTCTGGAAAAAAAAATAATGGAATTTTAGATTTTTAGCTTTTATTAATCTCCTTAAACCAATCATCTTTCAGAAAATGCTTGGGCTTAATGAAGGAAAGGGAAAAATATTATCCAAGGCCGTTGACACTGGAAAACAATTTCTATAAATAGGTGTGCAAGCCAGAAAGTGGAGGGAAGCTATGCTTGGATGCTGCCTTCAGGTTGCACTGGCTGGAAGAGGCTTTGGTGCCGTGGGATTCATCTTTTAAAGAGCAATGCTTAATGCTTAACCCAACTGGCAGGAAACAGAGCAGGGGGCAGGCTGCCAAGGCCCAGCACAGGGCTGCTGCCAACAGCCTAACACCGAGCACTGCTGCATCAAAACCCAACCAGCACAAGGGGCCGTGATGCTAAAAGCTGGCTGGAGAGTTACCCCCTGCTCTCATCCCTAAAAATGGATGGCATACCCCAAGATAAAGGCGTTCACGTTTCAGGAGGCCAAGAGAAGCAAAACCTGCGTGAGCATTACAGAAGTCAGCTTAGCCTAACAAAAGCATTCCCCATTTCAGGGCTCGACTGGTGCAAGCTTTTCTGGGCTTCCCATGGGATGAAACATCTCAGACACATCATCACAGCCTCTTTTAATCTGCAACCCTGGAAACCAACCGCAGCCCCCAAGCACCCTACTCACCGCCGGTTCCCTCCATGATGCCCCGAACCACAGCCTGAACCCCGCTGGGTCTCATCAGCCTTTCTGAGAGCAGCTGGCCACAAAGGCGCCGCAGCCATGCTGGAGCCCGTACAAGCGCTGGCTTTGTTTCTTCCCCAGGAGAGGGACGACTCTGAAAGGAAACAAAGCAGCAGGCTAAGTAGGGTATTCTCCCCAGTGCACGCTCCCGGCAAACCCTCACTAACAGGCCTGCACCCTGCCCTGGAGGACTGGAGACCAGATAGGAGCAGAGGACACAGAAACGTTTTAAATCACTTCATCCAGTGGCACAAAGCAAATTAGGGTTTAATGAGAGACTAACCTTGCCGGGAACATCCTCTCATGCAGAGCTTCCCTCCTTTAATTAAAGTCTCCCAGGGTCAGGCAGCAGCTCTGACCGTCTCATTACTGAAATGGGGCAAGGGGCAGCTCAGGGGACAAGCCAGGCTTAATGCACGTAAGGGGACAGCAGTGGTGACTCCTGCTACACCAGACACAGCGTAGCAGTGGGGAGGCAGCACCAGGGCTCAAGCAGAGCACTGCACAGGCACAGCTACAAACAGCAACGCTGTTCAGAGGCTGCAAATCCACAAATTGAGCAATTTGAATGTGTGCACTTGCTAGGTAGGACACGTGGAGCAAGGCTGGCAATGTCACGCTGCAGCAGGACATCAGCTTGACTCTGGTCTGACCAGGAAACGCAGGCTTTCGGGTGAGCCACAGCATCTGCTGAGGGTGCTGACCCCCCTGAGCTCCTCATGCAGCGCTTCTGCAGCACTTGCACATAGGATGGCAGATTCTGCCTGCCCAGGAATTGCCTTCAGTCCCAGCCAGAGGACAGAAGATTGTGCCACAGGCTGCTCTGAGTGCAATCCAGCAGCTGCCCCTGCAGACAGCAGAGCATCAATTTCCCATTTTCTTCTCCCCACCGCCGTGAGGCAGCCTTTGAACAGACCACGAGCAGCAGCCGGTGCTGAAGCAGCAGCACATCACCCCGCACACTGCATGCTGACCCTTCATGCCACGCAAACAGGGGACAGCAGGTGCTTTGCGGGGCCATCATATTCCTGCTGGGACACGGGATCCGTGGCTGCTCCGCATCGGGACGGTTCCGCTGCAGCCAGTACCTGCTTGGGGCCGCCCTGCAGGACGAGCAGCTCCCGCACGGCCAGGGGCTGGTAGACACGGTCCAGGATGTGCTGCAGGGCCTCCCGGCTCTGTGCTCGCTCCGCTTCCGAAAGGCCCTGGAAAAAAACAAGCCCTGAGGTGGTGAGGGCAGCCCGGCCGGGGGTGCTGCACCCACACACGGGCTGGCACCCAGCTCCCTGTGGCACGGTGCTGCCGGCGGCGTGGTGCTGCCGCCCCTCGAGCCCTCCTTCCCAGACCGTATATGAAGCAATGCTTTAACCTCTTATTTCACACTCAGACTGACAGAGGGCAGCTGAACGGGTGCTCCGAGGGCACCCCCTGCACCGGCCACCCCATGAGGCAGCACCGAAGTGTCGGGACAGGTGTAGGGGAGCGCGAGGCTCGAGCCCACCGACCTCATTATGGGCAGCAGGGCCGTGTCCCAGCAGGCAGAGCCCGGCGAGGAGGAGGCCGAGGTGGTGCGCGAGCAGCGGGCCGCCCAGCGCGGGGTGCTGGCACAACTCCACCAGGGCTCCGGTGGCGGCACGGAGCCGGGCCCCGCGGGTCACCCCCGGGGGTGGCGGAGGCAGGGGCGGCCCGGGGCGCTGCCCCACACCTGGGGGCAGGTAGGGCGCTACCCCCAGCCCCACGGCGGCCCCCAGCGCCCTCCGCAGCGCCCGGCCCTGCGCGGCGCTCAGTGTATCGGCGGCGGGCGGCGGCGGGGCACCGGGCACGGCGGCGGGGGCGGCGGGGAGGGCGGCCAGCGCCAGCAGCCGCTCCTTGAGGCACAGCAGCAGCGCCAGCACCGCGCAGGCGGCGGCCCAGCCCGGTTCTCCTTCGCCCTCCTCCGCCCCGGCTGCCAGCTCCGGTGCCCGGGCCAGCACGGCGGAGCGGAGGCCGCGCAGCGCCGCCCAGCCCGGCTCTCTCCGCAGCCGCTCGTTCAGCTCCGCCGCGTTGCTGAGCACCGTCTCCAGCCGCAGGGCGCCCTCCGGGCCGGGCCCGGCCTCGCCGCCCCGCTCACCGGGCCCCGCGGGCTGCCCCAGCAGCAGCTCCAGCGCCTCCAGCACCCGCCCCGGGGCCGGCTCCCCGCCGCCCGCCATCTTGGGGCCGCCGTGACGGGGAGAGGAGGAGCGGGCGGCTCCCCGCCGCCATCTTGGGGAGGTCGGGGGAAGGGGAGGGGCGCTGCCGCCCGCCGCCATCTTGGGGGGATGGCGGGGGGATGGAGGGCGGCCCCGCCCGCCGCCATCTTGGGCAGGTCGCGGCGCCATGGAGGGCCCGGCCCGGTGGGGCGGTACCTGGGCGATAACGGGGCTCGGTGTGGCCGCCCCGACCACCGGGAGTCCCGGTGGGGCAGGTGGTTGAGGAAACCTGCCGCCCTGTGTGCCACCGCATCCCCGCAGCCGGCTGGGGGTGGCTGGGGCTGAGCCTCGTCCACACACAGAGCACAGGTTCTGGCTGCAGCCAGCAGCTTGTGGAGAGAAATTAGCGTTTTGTGTGAAAGGAGAGGAACACCAAGCAGTAAACACGTTACAAAGCACACACATCAGCACTTCACTTGGCCCAGACTGTAACCAGGGTGGTTGCAACTCCCGTACCTGCCCCTGTGGTTGCAGAGAGGCACGCAGGCACTGTGGGGCACGTTATTCCTCTGCCTTCTGCTTCCTTTAAAGGGCAGGGCTGCTCTGGAGAAAACACAGCAACAATTACAGGGCCGGGCAAACAGCACCGATAACAGCCTCGCCTGCGCTGCTGGGCCCGCGTGGGTCGGGCGTTAGGCTGGGCACGCAGGGTGCAGCCACCGCGATAAGGCACGAAGGGCAAGCCCAGCTCTCCCCCTGCCTCCTGCTCCCCCGCTCCCCAGGGCCTGGCCAGGCAGATGGGCAGTAAGGTAAAACCTTGCGGTGCTGCGAGCTGCTCAGCCGCAGCTCTTATCAGCCCCGGTGCTGAGAAAACACGTGCTCTGTAATGCATCCCTCCCTCCCCGGGTAAGGTTGTTATAAAGAGTAGGGACTTCAGCAAGCGCTCGCTTTCTGCACTTCGGAGGCAGCCGTGGCCATAAGAAGAAGTCACGGCGGGGCAGACCTGTCCCTCAGCACGGCCACAGGCACGGCAGCTGGCAGAGCTACACACAAAGAAATAGGCTTCTTGTTTTATTAAAACAACGTATTATCTCAGTTTCATATAAAAAATGTACAATCAGTTAAAACTAGACAATGGCTAGACCTTATTCCCGTTTTCAAAATACAAAGCATGACAACAGCTAAACACAGTTCAGAATTTAAGTAAAGCTGTTTGATTTCAGAAAGCGCCTTCTATTAACAGCACAATAATTACACATAATGTGACACAAAAGGAAATAATATAATCTGGTATACAGAAAAATAGAAATCTGCCTGCAAGTACTATATCAAATATAATTCCCTCATGTATCACGGAAAGACAATGGCACATCATTAATCAGTGTTTATAGATCATCCACCCGGCATCGGCACATGCTTGAGCAGCTCCACACAAAAGCTGGACGTGGGGCCATCCCGTTCCCTGAGGGTGGCTGGCTGCCAGCATGGCCATGATTTCAGGTCTGGGAGCGCGAGGTATTTTGGAGAGCGCCACAGAAACTCTTTCCTTCCGCAGCAGAGGGGGAGAGGCGGTGGGGGCCTCTCCTGGATGAAGGAGAAGTGCTGAGCACCAGCCGAGGGCCAATGCAGGATTTGGGCATGGGGAGGCTGGGAGCTGATCCAGGAGCTGATCCAGGAGCACCTCAGCTTCGGGACAAGGAGTGCCTACTGCCAGCCTCCCGCGTCCCCCCAGGGAGTCCCAAATGGCACCATAGCCTACATGGAGCTGAGGGGGATGAGGAAACACACAGGCTCCCCAAAACACTCAAGCCCCAGCGATCCTGAGCTTTATCTGCACTGAAGGAGAGGGATGTGAGTGATGGATCCAGGGATGTCAGAGGGGGCTTTGGCCACCCACCACGCTGCTGGCGAGGGCCAGTGCATGTCCAAGAAATGGCAAGAGCTGCTTTCGCTGCGTGGCTGCAGGAGCAGCAGGAGGGCCAGGGCAGCCTAATCATCTTCCTCCCCGCCACCATAGAGCTCGGCCAGCTTCTTGAAGCGGTTGCCCCACTCGTTGAGGTAGTCGTAGTCCTGGTCCTGGTCGGAGTCGGAGGAGTTGAGGGAGCTGAGCGAGGCGGCCTCCGAACCGCTGCCCTCGTAGTCGAACACCAGCAGGGAGTCGTAGGGGGGGGCCGTGGGGTCCGTGTCAGCCGCCTTCAGGTTCTGGGGGGGGATAGAAGAGGAGCTCAGCGGGGAGCTGGAGCTGCCCCAGGGCCCCCCAGGCAGGGGAAGGGGCTCACCTCGTCGATGAAGTTTCCGATCTCATCGGGGTTGGCAGGCCGGGGCCGGTACTGGGGGGCTGCCATCAGCGGGGGGGCCACGTCGTTGCGGATCACCTCAGGGCGGGCATCCAGGCCGCGGTGCAGCTGGCTCAGGTCATAGTCCTGTGTGGGGACGGAGACAGGGGGCATGAGGGGACAGCAAGACTACGCTCAAGGGATGGCCTCAGGCAGTGCTGGAAGGACTGGGTAACCAACTGGGGAGCCATGCTGCCACCCGCTGTGGGGACGGTGCTGTGGAGAAAGAACCCCATGGGCACGACTATGGCCCAGCACCCCGTCCCACCTGGTCCTCCTCGCCGCCACCCTCCTCGTCGTAGTGGTAGACGTTGTCCCGCATGTCGTCTTCAGGTGGTAGCAGTGGCTCCTTCACCACCTTCCTCCTCCTCACAAAGAGCAGCAGCAGCAGCAGCAGGACTGCGAGCAGAGGGCATGGCGTCAGCGCCACGGGGTGAAAGCGGCCCCATCCCTGTCCCCACCCCACAGTACTCACTCAGCAGCGCCAGGATGCCCCCCAGGATGCCCAGGATTGCGGGGACACCCAGGCCAGTGGCGATGAACGCTCTCCGCTCACAGTTTTTGGTTGCCCCTTCACAATCGCACACCTGGGCTTTGACTTCTGTCATCTGCGCCTTGCCCTGGCTGTCCGTCAGCTTCAGGAAGATGCTGTACTCCCCGGGCTCCAGCTCCTTCTTCAGTTTCAGGACCAGCGAGTCTTGTGTAGGGGAGACAGGGCTTGGGGTCAAGGCAGGTCCCAGCTCCCACATCTGGGGACAGCCTCAGCACCCGCAGGGCTTTGCCACATGGCAGTGCCACCATGGGGACCGGTAGGAGCTCCAGGGGCATTCAGGGTGGCTCAGGGGGATCTGGCTAGGATGCGGCCCTTGCTCGGTGTCCCCCCACTGCCCTGCGCCACAGGTGGGTGGCTGGCACGGACCCCACAGCACCTACCTTGGCCGAATATCTCGACGGTCCAGTTGGTGCCGGAGCCGTGCTCCAGCGCTGCCTGGAACGGGTAGGTGTTTGGGGGCAGGTCCTTGTCCACGATGGTCAGCGTCTGGTCCTCGGGCTGCCGGCTGCAGATGTCGAAGATGCGGGGCTCCGGCGTGGGCCCGTTGTCGTTCACGTCCTGGAGGAGCAGCAGCAGCGTCCCCGTGCCCGTTGCGTCCGGCACCCCTGCGGAGCTGGGCGTTAGCGAGGTGCCTGCAGCCCGTCCCCACGCCCTGCACGGCCGCCCCGTGTCCCCGCAGCCCCCGCTGCCCACAGCGCGTCCTCACCGTTGTCCACGGCCAGGACGATGGCCTTGTAGGTGCTGTTGATGGCGTGCACCGACTCGCGGTCCAGCGGCTGGGCGGCCGTGACGATGCCGTTCTCGGGGTCGATGGCCAGCCACCCCGCGGGGTCGCTGCCCATGCGGTACCTGGGCAAGGGAGGGTCAGCGGGGGGCTTGGTGCCCAGCCTGGCCCCTCCGGCCGGGCGGGACGGGGCACGCAGCCCTCGCGCCCCCAGCATCGCCCCCACTCACGTGATCCTGTTCCTCTGGTCCTTGTCGGGGTCCTGGGCCGTGTAGGAGGCGACCTCGTGCCCCACCGGCAGGTCCTCCGGCACCTCCACCCTCTTGACGGGGGGCACGAAGACGGGGGGCTCGTTCACATCCCTGACGAGCACCAGCACGCTGGCTGAGGAGAGCCCGAGGGACACGGAGAGGGGGACCTTGTTCTCCACCGTCACCACGAGGTCGTAGCGGTTCCTGGTCTCGTAGTCCAGGCCCTGGAGGCGGCAGAGAGGAGCTGGGCTGGGAGCGGTGCTGGGGGGGACGCGTCCCACATGGGGCAGCCCCGGGAACCCCCAGACCCACCTTGGCGGTCCTCAGGATGCCGTCGTTGGTGTTGGGGTCGGTGGTGATGCTGAAGGCGCCGTCCTGGTCCCCGCTCTTGATGCGGTAGACGGCTTGCCAGGCCGGGGAGCCCGGCATGTCCTGGTCCGTCACGTGCAGCCTGGCCACCTCCAGCCCCACCTCGTTCTCGGGCACCGTCCCCTCGTACTGCGGGAGGGGCGCAGGGACGGTCAGCGCGGGTTGGGGCCGGGGGCAGCGGGGGAAGCGGCTCGCGGGAGCCAGCATGGGGGGGAGCTCGGTACCATGGTGGGGTCGAAGATGGGGATGTTGTCGTTGGCATCCGTGACCTCGATGACGGCCGTGGCGGTGGTGGACAGCCCCGTGCCCTCCTGGTCCGTGGCCTGGACGATCAGCGTGTAGTTGGGGGTGGTCTGCAAGCGGAGAGCACCACGGTCAGGGGCGCCCCACGGCTGCTCCCACCGTGGGGGTGCCAGGAGACGGCCGGGCGCCCACCTCGCGGTCCAGCCCCGTGCCGAGGACGCTGATGACGCCCTTCTGGGGGTCGATGGTGAACATCTGGGGGTGCGGTTTGGGCGGCTCCTGGCTGACGATGGAGTAGCTGACGATGCCGTTGTTCACGGTCACCGCGTCGTCCGCGTCCGTGGCGTTCACGGTCATCACAGAGGTGCCTGGCGCGGGGACGGGACGGGACGAGGAGATGTCACTCACGGGACGAGCCCCGTGGGTGCCATTGTCAGCCTGGCACAGCTCCGTCCCGGGGCCCCGGGGCCCCTCCACCCCCACCCCACGCACCCGGCTTGGCGTTCTCCTCGATGTAGCCGACGAAGAGCTGCTTGGTGAAGACGGGCTTGTTGTCGTTCTGGTCCATCACCGTGATGATGATCTCCATGGGGTCCTCCACGGGCTGCCCGTTGGCCGACACGGCGTGGGAGAAGAGCTGCGGGGGCACCGTCAGTGGCGTGGCCCCCTCGAGACCCCCCGGCGCCCCCAGCCCCAGCCCCCACTCACGACATATTTCTCGATCTCCTCGCGGTCCAGCGGCTTCGTCACCTCCAGCCACCCCGTCTCACGCTCGATGGTGAAGACGCCCACGGGGGGGCTGTCCGCCCCCTGCCCCGTGATGCTGTAGAAAACCTTGGTCTCCTTGTCCTTGTTGGATTTGATCTGGGGGCGAGGCGGGGGGCTGTTAGAGGGGCCTGGCACTCCACAGGGGTACCCGCGTCCCCCCCGGGGCTGCTCAGCCCGGCCATAGGGCCTGGCGCTGGCTCAGCCTTCGTCCCCACACCGTGGGGGCCACGTACCTGCACCAGCTGCTTGGGGAAGGGCCCCCGGTGGTTCTCGGGGCAGCTGATGGGGGGGATGACCCAGTCCCTCTTCTGCCTTCGGAGGCTGGGGCCAGATTCGGGGAACGAGAGCATGTAGGGCTCATCCTCCTGCAGGAACAGCGATTTGTCCCGGTGCCCACGGGAGCGCCAGGCAGCCGGAGGCACCCACCGCCCACCCCACAGAGGGGCTGTGGTGAGCACAGGCACGGGGACCACACCTCACCTGGTTGCTGCGGCGGTGTTGCCGCGACCTGCGCCTCTCCACGGTCACCCAGGCCGAGTGCCTCTTGCCCGTGGCATCCAGGGCAGAGATGTTGAAGCGGATCTTCTGCCCGCGGAGCTGCAGTGGCTGCTTCGTCTGGAGGATGCCGTCTTTGTCCACCTCGAAGCGCGGGTCGGTGGGGACGTGCACAGCCTGCGGCTGCCCAGCACAGCCCGAGAACAGCACTGGGGACAGGAGGAGCGGGTGGGCCGGGTGGCACCGTGCTTGGCACATCCCTGCCACGGGGCACAGCCCCCCGTGTGCTGTGTCCCTGCTGCACAGCGTCCCCACGGCACAGCCCCACACGTGGTCGTGGCAGCAGGCAGAGTGCTGCTGCACTGGGTGCTTTTCAAACACAAACAGGGCCGGCGTGTCCAGCTCGCCCGCACTGGCACCCAGCCACCCCAATAACCGCCAGGGCTGGGGCCCAGGGGCTGCCAGCGCAGGATCCTGCTCTGCAGGCAGGGGGGTGACAGTTCACTGGTGCTTGGGGACCCCTGGGGGTCACCGAGCCTCCTGCATGACCGGGGATCTGGGGTATGCATCTGCAGTGGGCTTGTGACCCGCTGCAGGGAGATGGCACCCTGCTGGGGCCACGGTACGAGCCCTCACACTGGCCACACTGGTCTGGTACTGGTCTGCTACTGGTCACAGCTGGGGCTGGCGTGCTGGAGACAAGGACAGCCCGAGGGGGGGGGCAGCGCGCAGCACGGCAGCGATCAGCAGGCATCACATGAGCGGGGCCGCGCAGCCGGGAGCTCCCTGAACAAACGCTCCTTTGTCTGGGGGATGTTTTGTTTGAGCCAGCAGCACCCAGCCTGGGTCCCCCCCCACCGGCAGAGCCACCCCCAGCCCCGGCACGACCGCGGCTCGGGCAGGAGGCACTTGGTGGTGCCGTGGGATGGCGACGTGCCCGGGGTGGGAAGCGCAGAGCTGGGCGCTCCCAGGGCAGCCCTTACTGCCGGGCCCTTTCCGCCATCCCTCGGCACATCAGCCCACGTGCAGCCCAGCAATTCAGAGCCGACGGTGAGAGGAAGGCGATAGCAGAGCTGGGCTGGGGGCTGCCACCGTGCCCCCGACCCAGCGGGTGCGATGCCAGCCCGGCCCCCAGGTGGGTCCCGCAGCCAGGCCGGGGCAGCCGGTGAGGCCGGCTGTGCAGGGACACGCCGGGGCAGGCCGGGCGCTCCCGCACCGGGGGCTGGCAGCGGGGAGGTGCCGCGGCCCCCGCGGGCACCCGGGCCCTGGCACGGAGCCGGCCGGGTGCAGCGAGCACCCAGGGTGCAGCTCAGCACCCAGCCCCGCACCGGCTGCGTGTACGGAGCGCAGGGAGCGCGCCATGCCGAGCACGCGCACCCCATGGCTGTGCTCAACCAGTTTTTCCAGCTCAGCACTTGAAAGCCAACCCCTCCCTTCCCCGTCCTCCCCGGGGGCATGCAGCCATGGGGCCTCAGCAAGGCGTGGGGCAGGGGGAGGCGGTGGGGCTGGGGGCAAGTTTGGGGGGCTGATGAACCGCAGGGCGCTCCACGCCTTCCTGGAGCCTCACCTGCCACTACCCACGGGGCCAAAATCACCGAATTACTGACTGCTGGACGGGGCTGGGGGGAGCACCCCGCACCCCCAGGACTGGGATCTGGGGACCATGGTGCCTGCCAGCCCCCAAGCCACCCCACAACCCGCTGGGACACAGGAAGGTGTCTCGCCAGGGCTGGGCACAGGGTGAGTCACGGGCCCAGCCAAGTGCCACCACCCCAGGACAACCGGGTGACAACCGGGTGCCACCACCCCGTGTCCCCACACGGTTGCGCAAGCGCGGTGGCTGCACTGGGGCAGAAGCCAGCAGTGGCGGGGAGGGGGGGGACGGACAAACACCAGTTCCAGGCAGCGCGGGCGAAGGCGCCGTGAGCCGCACGTCCCGCCCAGGCGCTCCCCCTGACGTCACCGAGTTTCGCCGTGACTTCAGAGTCTCGAGGTTTCTCCCACCCGGGGCTGATTCAGGACCTGCGTAGTTTGGGAACATCCGCCCCCGCCAGAGACCCACAACCCCCCCCCGAAATGGGACCAAACGCCCACGTCCCACAGAGCTGGGGGCTCCCTGAAGGCTCCTCCCTGGGGTTCTGCCACCCCGTGCCCTGCCCAGGGACCCCTTGCCCATGGGCAAAGCAGCACACGAGGCTGAGCGTGGCCACAGGGTCCCGGTGCCATCCCAGGGCCGCCAGGCGGGTGCTGCCATCCTTCCCTCGGGGCGTGGGACAGCCGCAGCCCCAGCACCCACCGGAAACCGAGGCACTGGGCAGCTCCTGCTGCCCGCATTAACGCGGAGGAAATTGCTCCTTCCTCCACCGAGCTTTCTCATCAGCGTGCCGGGGCGGCAGCACCGCCGTCGGGAGGCTCGGAGCCGCAGCAGCAGCTGGCGCAGCCCCTGGAGCGCTCGGAGAGGCAGGGCCCCACGCCGCCTCTTGCCGCCCCAGCGCCGAGCTGGGCCTATCCAGACCTGTCTGAGGCACAACACAGCGCTCGACTCATCTGCTTAATTACAGGCCAGCTCGGCAGCCTGCCGCACCGCAGCCCGGCCGAGGCCTTTGAAGCACTGTGTGGCACAGAGGGCAGCATCCTGCCCCCACTGAGTGCCCCCCTGTGCGGCTGGGCATCACCGTGGCACAGCCAGGCATCACCACAGCACCGCTGGCACGCATGGGCTGACACAGGCACCCGTCCGCTTCCTTCCTCCTCTGTCCCAAGCCCCAAACTGGGACGCAGGGGATTTCCAGCTGGCCCCGCTGCAGAAACCAGCCCTGTGCATCCCGGGGGTGCAGAGGGCCACGCAAGTGCCCATCACCCTGCTATCAGGCACAGCCCGAGCAGCTGCAGGCTCCTGGTGCTGAGCGCCTTTTGTTAATGATCAACCAGAAAGCAAACAAACATGTACGGAATGCGTTCGGTGCAGTGCAGGGTCCAGCTCCCTGCACTGAAACTGCCAGCGCAGGTGAAACTCAGCCTGAAACCGAAGGCACAGGGGCCCCGCTGCAGTGCTCAGCGCCCCTCAGCCCCCTCTGGCATCGCTGCCAGCCACTGACCCCAGCAAACTGCAGCCGAGCCTCTGCCCTGCAGTGCTGGGGAGCCACCAGGACCTCGGTGCTGGGAGACAAAGAGCACGGTGGGGACACAAACACCCCAAAGCAACAGGTCCTCAGCACCCCAATTTCACAGCCACCCCTTCGGCACCTCCAGAACCACCTCCACATCGAGCCGGGTGCTCGGTGCCCCACGCAGAGGCACCGCCAGCCCGTGGGGAGGCCACGCGTGGCGGTCGGGCTCCGCACCCCACACCCAGGCCTGCCGGCCCCGACAGGTCTGTGCCTGAGTCAGCGCTGCCGGGACAGGCGCCCGCTGCCCCCGCACGCCCTCGCCCCGCTGCTGCCGGCCCCGGCACCTGCAGCGCCCCAGCTCCTCGCCGTGCACCGACACGTAGGCACTGCCCCGGCCCCACGCAGCCACGGCTTTGTGCCTCGTTTTGCCACCCTGGGCACCCATCCCTGCCACCACGGCCCTGTGCCACCTCGCCACGCACCCAGCCCAACCCCACGGGCGCTCCGCCAGCCCCGTTGCCACCCTTGGTGCCAGGCACCAAACCCGACCCCACGCCTCCACAGCCCCCCGGCACACTCGCCCGTCCCCACGAGCGCAGCCCCGTGCCGCACCGGCAGCGGGTTATGGGGCTGCGTTCCCACCCTTGTGGGCCCCCACCGCCCCTGTAGGACCCTACCTCGTCCCAGCACCTCGCCCGCCGCCACGCTGTCCCGGGGCACGGTGAAGGTGAAGGTCTCCGCGGTGAATCCAGGCTGGCAGGGGGCTGCCTCGTCGCACCTCCGTCCGCCCACCTGCCCGGACAGAGGTGTCAGCGTGGCCACCGCCACCCCATCCCCTCCAGTCCCTTCCAGTCCCTTCCAGTCCCCTCCTGTCCCGTCCCCCTCACCTGGAGCAGCAGCAGCAGCAGGGGGAAGCAGAGGGGGCCCATGGAGCCCCGCTGCCGCCCCATAGCTCGGTGCCGGTGCTGGACGGTGCGGGACGGGACGGGACGGGACGGGACGGAGCTGCCGAGCGCTGCCGCCGCCGAGCCGCAGGTGAAAGCGGCACCGCCCGCAGGTGCTGCGACCCCCGCCCCGCCCCGCCCCACCGGGAGGCGGCCCCCCCCCCCCGGTCCAGCCCCGGTTCCCCCCTCCCGGTTCGTCCAACCCCTCCCGGTCCTTCCCAAAGGGCCCCAGGGAGCGGCCCCGGCACCGGCACCCTCCGGTCCCGGAGCCCCGGGGGAACCTCGAGGGGGTGGCTCCGGTGAAACCCGGGCAAGCAGCCCCCCGGGACCCCCCCGGGGACCTTACGGCACCCCCAATGGTGCAGACAGGCAGGGGGGAACCCCCTGGTGCCACCGCCTCCTCCTGCCCCACAGAGCACCCAGCGCTGGCCCCAGGAGCAGGGTCAGGGGCTGAGCCCCCCCTGTAGGGAAGCAGGGAGCACCCCCACAGCACCCCCTGCCCCAGGGGAAGCTCTGGGCTGGGTTAATGCAGCGCTATCAGTGCTTATTATGGGCGGGGGGGGGCCGCCGGGGATGGGGAGCTCTGGGACCAGTCCTGCCCATGCACACCAGCACGGTGCGGGGCTGGCCCAGTGCCCTCCCAGCACCACCAGCTGCTTCCCTGGCATCCACCTCGTCCTCCCCCTTCTGCATGGGGACAGGGACAGCCCTGGGGAGAGACCCCACTGCCTCAGCACCCCCCCGGTGATGCTGCAGGTCCCCAGCCCAGCAGTGTTTCTGTGGTCCCCCCCCCACTCCTCCAGCCCCACAGAAGCGCACAGAGACAGGAGGATCTTAAAAAAAAAAAAGAAATCCACATCCTTTATTAAAACTTCTACCTAACCCAGCTTAGCCCGTCCGTATCATCACACTACATTTATTTCATTAAAAAATACACAGGAGGAAGCTGAGGCCGCTTCAGCAGACGCAGAAGGCATCAGAGGGAGTGCGGGGGGAAGGGGGGGCAGCGCCGGCCCCAAGGCACAGCAGGGGGGTAAGGCTTTGGGCAGCAGGAGCAGCAGCACAGGGGGGCCGGGGGGGGCCCTACTCATCGTCCTCCCCGCCACCATAGAGCTCGGCCAGCTTCTTGAAGCGGTTGCCCCACTCGTTGAGGTAGTCGTAGTCCTGGTCCTGGTCGGAGTCGGAGGAGTTGAGGGAGCTGAGCGAGGCGGCCTCCGAACCGCTGCCCTCGTAGTCGAACACCAGCAGGGAGTCGTAGGGGGGGGCCGTGGGGTCCGTGTCAGCCGCCTTCAGGTTCTGGGGGGGGATAGAAGAGGAGCTCAGCGGGGAGCTGGAGCTGCCCCAGGGCCCCCCCGGCAGGGGAAGGGGCTCACCTCATCGATGAAGGTGCCGATGTCCTCGGGGTTGGCGGGCCGGGGCCGGTACTGGGGGGCCGCCATCAGCGGGGGGGCCACATCGTTGCGGATCACCTCAGGGCGGGCATCCAGGCCGCGGTGCAGCTGGCTCAGGTCGTAGTCCTGCGTGGGGACAGCGCGGGGTCAGGCCAGCCCGTGGTGACACGGGGACACCCCCATCCCCGGCACCCACCTGGTCCTCCTCGCCCCCGCCCTCCTCCCCGTAGTAGAAGACGTTGTCCCGCGTGTCGTCCTCCGGCAGCAGCAGCGGCTCCTTCACCACCTTCCTCCTCCTCACAAAGAGCAGCAGCAGCAGGAGGATGACTGCGGGAGAGGAGCGGCATCAGTGGGGGCACCCCAGCACCCACGGGTGGGGCGCAGCCCCTCCAAACCCCCACTCACTCAGAAAAGCCAGGAGGGCGCCCAGGACGGCGAGGATGATGGGCACGCCGGTGGCCACCTGCGGCTCGTAGGCGCAGCTCTCCACCCGGCCCTGGCAGTCACACACTTGTGCCTTGATGACGGTGACCTGGTCCTTGCCCTGGCGGTCGAAGAGCCGCAGGTAGACGCTGTACTCCTCCTGCTCCAGCGGCTCCGTCAGCCGCAAGGTGACCGTGTCACCTGCGTGAGAGGAGTGATATGGGTGACCTGGGGTGCCTGCCCCCGCAGCAGCTGAGGCACCCATCGCACTGAGCCCCTTCCTTACCGGTGTCCCCGACCTCCACCGCCCAGCTGTCCCCCGAGCCGTGGCTCAGCTCGGCACGGAAGGGACCCGTGTTGGGGGGCAGGTCCCTGTCGATGACGGTGAGGACCTGGGGCACGGGGCTGCGGTTGCAGACAACGATGTTGCGGGGCTCAGGCTCAGGGCCGTGGTCGTTCACGTCCAGCAGGGTGAGGAGCAGGGTGCCAGTGCCCGTGGCGGGTGGAGAACCTGCCGAGAGGAGCCGGGCTGGCGGGGCACCCCAAGAGCAGGGCCTCCCTCCCACCCCCAAGGACCAGACCGCGCGGGCACCGCTCCCTGCCCAAGGGAGCGAGCCGGGATGCAGCACCCCCGTGACACCAGGAGCACGTGTCCCTCACGTGGGACAGCACCCGGCAGGAACAAGGGCTCCTTTCATGGCCACCGCGCCTCACCGTCGTCCACGGCCAGCAGCACGGCCACGTAGGTGCTGTTCTTGGCGAAGGGCGACTCGCGGTCCAGGTGGTCCCGCGCCGTGATGAGCCCATTCTCCGGGTGCACGTCCAGCCAGCCCGCTGGGTCGCTGCCCACCACGTACCTGGGGGACAGAGGGTGCTGGTCCCACGGGGGCACGGCAGCAGGACCCCCCTAGCCCCAACCCCAACCCCAGCCCCACTCACTTGATGCGCTGCCGCTGGGCTCTGTCGGGGTCCTGGGCCGTGTAGGAGGCGAGGAGCTGCCCCAGCGACGCGTCCTCCGCCACCTGGGCGAGCCGCACCGGGGGGTCAAAGACGGGTGCCTCGTTCACATCCTCCACGCTGACCGTCACCGTGGCCGTGGCCGTGGGCAGCTTGACGGCGAAGGGCGCCTCGTTCGCCACGGCCACGTGGAGCACAAACTGCCGCTTGGCCTCGTAGTCCAGAGCCTGCAGGAGGGCACAGGATGGGACGGGCAGCACCACGCAGGGCGGGTGGCCACACCGCGGGGACGGGCACGGGACACGCACCTTGGCTGTCCGCAGGACGCCCTCGTTGCTGGCAGGGTCGGTGGTGATGGTGAAGGCGCCGCCCTCGTTGCCGCGCACGATGGAGTAGACGGCGCGCCACGCCGGCGTCTGGGGCTCGTCCAGGTCCGTGGTGTGCAGCCGGGTCACCTCCAGCCCGGCCTCGTTCTCCGGCACGGCCGCCTCGTACTGTGCATTGGGGACCATCAGCACCAATCCCGCCATGCCCAGCCCACCCTGCCCGCCTGACAGCCACGTTACCGTTTTGGGGTCAAACTCGGGGGCGTTGTCGTTCACATCCGTGATCTCAATCACGGCCAGCGCTGTGGTGGTCAGCCCCTCGCCATCCAGGTCGGCTGCCTGCACGGTCAGCGTGTACTCCCGCACACGCTGCGGGGGGCAGACAGACAGACAGACAGACACCCGTCAGCACCCCGCAGCCCGCCCGGTGCCAGCGCCACCCCCACGGTGCCGCAGGTCCCACCTCACGGTCGAGGCCGCTGGCAATGACGCTGAGGGTGCCGGTGGCCCTGTTGACGGTGAACATGTGGGGATGGGGCTCCCGCGGCTCCTGGCTGAGGATGGAGTAGGCAAGGACACCGTTGTAGGTTTCCACCGCATCATCTGCATCCGTGGCGTTCACCTGCATCACCGAGGTGCCTGTGGGATGGGGCGTCCGTGTGAGGGAGGGACAGGGCACCCATGTCCCCAGGAGGGGCAGTCCTGGGGCTCTCCAAGGACACATCCAGCAGGAGGCAGAGTTTCCCCATGGGGCCACGCCACACCCAAAGCACCGTGGCACCGGCCCTACCTGGCAAAGCACCCTCGGGCACGGAGCCCCTGAACACCTCCTGCGTGAATTGGGGCTTGTTGTCGTTCTGGTCCGTCACCGTCACTATGATCTCCATCGGCTCCTCCACGGGCTTGCCGTTCTCGGACACGGCGTGGGAGAAGAGCTGCGAGGCAGAGGGGTGAGCATGGAGCTGGCACAGCGCCTGCCCCAGCGCCCCCCCCCCCCCCCTTCCCCAGCTGGCACCTACGTGGTACTTGTCCATGTGCTCCCGGTCCAGCGGCTGCGTCACCTTCATCCAGCCCGTCTCCTTCTCGATGGTGAAGATGCCCTCGGGGGGGGTGTCCGCCCCCTGCCCCGTGATGCTGTAGAAGATCTTCGCCTCCCGGTCCCGGTTGGATTTGATCTGGAGGGGTGCGCAGCAGCGCTCAGTGCTGGGGCTTGGCAGCCCCCCCATGGCACCGCACCCCGTCCTGGCACCCACCCATGCCCATGGCCGGCACCTCCACTGCCCTGGGCGCACACATCCATGCCCAGCTCCAGATGCATGCCCAGATGCAATGGTGACGGGCACAACCAGAGCATCACCCCACCCCAGGGCACCCACCCACGCCTCTGGGCCCCCTCCATACCTGAACCAGCTTTTTGGGGAAGGGACCCCTCTCATTTTCAGGGACCTTGATGGGAGGGATCACCCAGTCCCTCTTCCGCCTCCTCAGAGCCCTGGGGACATCGGGGACCTCCTGGTGGGAAGGAGAGCGGGGTGAGGGAGCAGCCACGCGGGGAAGGTCTGGGGGACGGGGGTGTTTGCCTGGGGGGGGCTCCCAGGAGCATTACCTGCAGGGAGCGCCGGCTCCGCACAGGGCCTGGCAGGATGGTGGCATCCTGGGGAGTCACAGGCAGCCACCCTGGGGGCCTCGGTGCCACCGCTCCCATGTGGGGCTCCTCGTCCTCGTACTGCACCGTGCCATCGCCTGCTGTGAGGGGCAGGGGTCAGGGTGGCCACGGAGGGGACACAACCTGCTGCCCCCACCCCAGCCATGCTCCACGTGCCCCCTGCTTGGCCCCGGGAGCTCCCGGCCAGCCCGGCTGAGCCCTGGGGATTAGGATCAGGAGGGGGAGGCCGGAGTGGTTCCCGGCACTGGGGGCGGGCAGGAGCTCGGTTTTGGCTTTGTTTCGGAGATGACGGGGAAATTCCTGGGCACGCAGGGCCCTGCCCCGCGCCTCCCACCTCTGTGTGTCACCGCCTGCTCCCTCCCCCCCTCCCCAATCACCACCCCAGGCTGGGACCCGCACTGCAGCAGGGCCCTGCACCCAAAGCCACGCTGCGCCCCCGCGCCATGCCGGGCCCAGCCCCGGCACCCCCAGCACCCCGCAGGATTAGGGGATTAGCAGTGCTAAGCCTGCTCCGGCCGCGCTGGCCAAAAGGCTGCCAGGAGCAGGGAGAGCGATGGAAGCAGGGCGAGGAGAGCTGTGCCCCGCGGGCGTAGCAGGTCCTGGGCTGGGGGAGCAGGAGCAGGTCCCCAGGGGGGCCCCTTGGACCCCATGCTGGGGCAGAGCTGGTGCCTGGAGGGCAACTCTCGCCAGCAATCAGGGATGGTGCTGGGGATGGAATCACCACGGCCACACCACGAGGGCCACGGCCACACCAGGGCACGAGGAGCCAGCCCTCGCCGTGGGGTTGGGGTCTGCAGCCCCGCTCCAGCACCAGGCTCCCCCCATGCCCCCGGGGTTCCTCGGCACCACGCAGCCTGGGCACCCTGCCCGCCTCTGTGGGGATGGAGCCGAGCCCGGGTGGGCTCCTGGCTACGAGCTCCCACGGAGGGGCTGCAGCCCCCCGGCCGGCCCCAGCCCCTGCCCACGGCCCCAGCCTGGCAGGAGCTGCCCGCAGCACTCGGCAGCCGGGCGGGCTGAGGTCAGGGCTGGCACGGTGAGAGCTCTCAGGGCCAGAGCTTTCAGCGCTCCGCAGCCATTAGGGGAGCGCTGCCTGCGGTCGTGGTTCCCGAGCAGCTCCGTTCCCCGGGGATGCCGACGAGTAAACACGGCGGGCGGCCCCGCCGGCACCGGGAGCCAGCCCCGGGAACCGGCCCCTGCCGCCCCGCCGTGCCCCCGAGCCCCCCGCCCGTACCGGAGAAGGTGGCCCCGGGGCGACCGGTCCCAGCGGCAGCCCGGCGCCTGGCACCGACCCGCGGGGTCCCGCCCTGCCCGGCGGCTCCCGGCCGCTCTCCGCCGACCGGAGGCGCCGGCATCAGCCGACGGAGCCCGAGCGGCACCGCCAGAGCCCCCCCGGCCCGAAAAGGGGGGTCCGCGACCAGCCCACAGCCTGCGATGGGGTCGCCCCGCGATGCCGGGGACACGGCCAGGGGGCAAAGGAGCGAGCCCACGGCCCGGGGGGGGGGCACAGCAGCCCCGCAGCGCTGCCCAGCCCCGCACCCCGAGGGCACCAACCGGCTCCGCACCGCGGCTAGCACCGGGCCCCCAAGTTGGGGGGCGAGAGGGGAAGAACCGGGCCGAGCACCGCAGCAAGGGGGGGGCTCTCCACCACCCCCAGCCCAGCCCGGGGCAGCTCACCTGCCCCCACCGCCCCGGTGCCGGTGCCTCCCGGCGTGGCGGCGCCCCCAAAGCCCCCCCTCCGCCGGCCCGGTGATGCTCCCCGCGCCCCGACGGCGCCGCTTACCTGGCCCCGGGGGAGCGCACGGCCGGGCCGGGGCGGCGGCAGGCGGGAGGAGCAGGAGCAGGAGGAGCGGGCAGAGCCCGGAGCGCGACCCCCGCATGGCCCCGCCGCTACCGAGCGCCGCGCCCCCGCCCGCTGCTCCGCGCGGCTCCAGGTGAGGCCGCGGCCGCGCAGGTACCGACCGGCCCCCCCCGCCCCGCCCCGCCCCGCCCCGCCCGGTCCGGTCCCGCCTCGCCCCGCCCGGTCCCTCCCCGGTCCCGCCCCCCCCCCGCCGAGCCGTTCCCGGTCCCCCCGTGCGCCCCTCCCGGGGTGTTCCCCGACCTCCCCAGGTCCTCCCCGGTTCCGCCGCGCCCCCCCCGGTGCCTCCGTTTCGCCGCCACCTCCGTGCGCCCCCCCGGGCTCTCCACGCGCACCCCGTTGGGGCAGCGGCAGCCGGTGCCCGGGGGTGGGAGGTGGAGAGCCGCGACCCCCCCCAGCTCCGGGGGGCTGAGCGGTGAGGCACAGCACGGAGCTGCCGTCCCAACGGGGGTGCCGGTGTCTGGGCACCCCCCGGGCACGGAACAGCACCTGCGTGCACGGCCCCGCACCCCGACCCTCCCCAGGCACCCTGTGGGGCCGGGGGGGCGCAGCGGGGCCGGGGGCTGGCACCCCCTGCGCTGGCACCCACGTGGGCACTGCTGGGAGCTTTGCCAGGGGCACAGTCCAAGGGCACGGAGCTGGCCCTGGTCAGCGCTCGGAGCACCCGGAGTGGCCGGAGCTATGGCACCCTGCACCTTCCTCCTGCTCCTTCTCCTCCTCCTCCTGCAGGTAGGGCGCTCTGGGGGCTGCTGCGCATCGGTGAGGGGCGACAAGGAGGGGAGAGGAAACCCGCACGGCACAGCCCCGCTGCCCTCCCGCTGCTCTGCATCCTGCAGGTCACGGTGCTCAGCACCCACGTAGATGACGTGGCCTTCTCCAAGTCTGGCCGCAGCCTCCGAAGGCAGAAGAGGGACTGGGTCATCCCCCCCATCAGCTGCCCCGAGAACCACCGGGGGCCCTTCCCCAAGCAGCTGGTGCAGGTACGTGGCCCCCACGGTGCGGGGACGAAGGCTGAGCCAGCGCCAGGCCCTATGGCCGGGCTGAGCAGCCCCGGGGGGGACGTGGGTACCTCTGTGGAGTGCCAGGCCCCTCTAACAGCCCCCCGCCTCCCCCCCAGATCAAATCCAACAAGGACAAGGAGATCAAAGTTTTCTACAGCATCACTGGGCAGGGGGTGGACAGCCCCCCCGTGGGCGTCTTCACCATCGAGCGTGAGACGGGGTGGCTGGAGGTGACGAAGCCGCTGGACCGCGAGGAGATCGAGAAATACGTCGTGAGTGGGGGCCGGGACTGGGGGTGCCGGGGGGTCTCGAGGGGGCCACGCCACTGACGGTGCCCCCGCAGATCTTCTCCCACGCCGTGTCGGCCAACGGGCAGCCCGTGGAGGACCCCATGGAGATCATCATCACGGTGAGGGACCAGAACGACAACAAGCCCGTCTTCACCAAGCAGCTCTTCGTCGGCTACATCGAGGAGAACGCCAAGCCGGGTGCGTGGGGTGGGGGTGGGGGGGCCCCGGGGTCCCAGGACGGAGCTGCGCCAGGCTGACGGTGGCACCCACGGGGCTCGTCCCGTGAGTGACGTCTCCTCGTCCCGTCCCGTCCCTGCGCCAGGTACCTCTGTGATGACCGTGAACGCCACGGATGCGGACGACGCGGTGACCGTGAACAACGGCATCGTCAGCTACTCCATCGTCAGCCAGGAGCCGCCCAAACCGCACCCCCAGATGTTCACCATCGACCCCCAGAAGGGCGTCATCAGCGTCCTCAGGCACGGGGCTGGACCGCGAGGTGGGCGCCCGGCCGTGTCCCGGCACCCCCACGGTGGGAGCAGCCGTGGGGCGCCCCTGACCGTGGTGCTCTCCGCTTGCAGACCACCCCCAACTACACGCTGATCGTCCAGGCCACGGACCAGGAGGGCACGGGGCTGTCCACCACCGCCACGGCCGTCATCGAGGTCACGGATGCCAACGACAACATCCCCATCTTCGACCCCACCATGGTACCGAGCTCCCCCCCATGCTGGCTCCCGCGAGCCGCTTCCCCCGCTGCCCCCAGCCCCAACCCGCGCTGACCGTCCCTGCGCCCCTCCCGCAGTACGAGGGGACGGTGCCCGAGAACGAGGTGGGGCTGGAGGTGGCCAGGCTGCACGTGACGGACCAGGACATGCCGGGCTCCCCGGCCTGGCAAGCCGTCTACCGCATCAAGAGCGGGGACCAGGACGGCACCTTCAGCATCACCACCGACCCCAACACCAACGACGGCATCCTGAGGACCGCCAAGGTGGGTCTGGGGGTTCCTGGGGCTGCCCCATGTGGGACGCGTCCCCCCCAGCACCGCTCCCAGCCCAGCTCCTCTCTGTCCGCCTCCAGGGCCTGGACTACGAGACCAGGAACCGCTACGACCTCGTGGTGACGGTGGAGAACAAGGTCCCCCTCTCCGTGTCCCTCGGGCTCTCCTCGGCCAGCGTGCTGGTGCTCGTCAGGGATGTGAACGAGCCCCCCGTCTTCGTGCCCCCCGTCAAGAGGGTGGAGGTGCCGGAGGACCTGCCGGTGGGGCACGAGGTCGCCTCCTACACGGCCCAGGACCCCGACAAGGACCAGAGGAACAGGATCACGTGAGTTGGGGGAGATGCTGGGGGCGCGAGGGCTGCGTGCCCCGTCCCGCCCGGCCAGAGGGGCCAGGCTGGGCACCGAGCCCCCCGCTGACCCTCCCTTGCCCAGGTACCGCATGGGCAGCGACCCCGCGGGGTGGCTGGCCATCGACCCCGAGAACGGCATCGTCACGGCCGCCCAGCCGCTGGACCGCGAGTCGGTGCACGCCATCAACAGCACCTACAAGGCCATCGTCCTGGCCGTGGACAACGGTGAGGACGCGCTGTGGGCAGCGGGGGCTGCGGGGACACGGGGCGGCCGTGCAGGGCGCGGGGACGGGCTGCAGGCACCTCGCTAACGCCCAGCTCCGCAGGGGTGCCGGACGCAACGGGCACGGGGACGCTGCTGCTGCTCCTCCAGGACGTGAACGACAACGGGCCCACGCCGGAGCCCCGCATCTTCGACATCTGCAGCCGGCAGCCTGAGGACCAGACGCTGACCATCGTGGACAAGGATCTGCCCCCAAACACCTACCCGTTCCAGGCAGCGCTGGAGCACGGCTCCGGCACCAACTGGACCGTTGAGATATTCGGCCAAGGTAGGTGCTGTGGGGTCCGTGCCAGCCACCCACCTGTGGTGCAGGGCAGTGGGGGGACACCGAGCAAGGGCCGCATCCTAGCCAGATCCCCCTGAGCCACCCTGAATGCCCCTGGAGCTCCTACCGGTCCCCATGGTGGCACTGCCATGTGGCAAAGCCCTGCGGGTGCTGAGGCTGTCCCCAGATGTGGGAGCTGGGACACACCTTGACCCCAAGCCCTGTCTCCCCCACACAAGACTCGCTGGTCCTGAAACTGAAGAAGGAGCTGGAGCCCGGGGAGTACAGCATCTTCCTGAAGCTGACGGACAGCCAGGGCAAGGCGCAGATGACAGAAGTCAAAGCCCAGGTGTGCGATTGTGAAGGGGCAGCCGAAAACTGTGAGCAGAGAGCGTTCACTGCCACTGCCATCGTCAACATCAGGGATGCCATCAGCAACGTTCCCATCTTCAGCTTCACCATGGTACCTGTCTCCCCTACTCGAGCCGGCTCCAGGGAATCGTTTTCCCCTCTCCCCCACATCGGGGTGACCGTCCCTGTCCCCCTCACCTGGGTGATCCCCACGGCCGCAGCAGGCTGGAGGTGCAGATGAGCCTTGTCCTGGGCACGGCCCCCCTGCCCCAGGCGCTCAGCCTCTGCGTTCCCCTGGCTCTCACTGCCCACCCAGGCACCGTGTGCGCAGCAGGTGGTCCCCAAACACCCCCTGAAGCTGCCGACAGGGACGGACGCAGGCTCCCAGCCACCAGCACCACTGCTATCAGCACGCAGATGAGGCGCCGGGCCCTCCCGGCGGCGCAGGAGGGGAGGCAGGCAGGTCAGACGAGCAGGGCTTGCCCGCGGTGATCCCGCTGCCTGCTCCTCGCAGCTTCCACGTGCCCGGCCCCGCTCACGCGCTCTGAGCTCTTTGCAGGGGGAGGCTGGGCCGGCAGCTCCACTGTGGCTCAACCAGTCCCGGTCGTCCCAAAATCCAGCCGGACTTGGGGCTGCCAGCCCCGGGGCTGCGGTGCCGCCAGAGCACGGGTTCCGTCGGGGCGCACCGGGGTGTGCCGGCTGCTGGGGAGCCGCCTGCACGGGCCGGCCCAGCCGGGGAGGAGCGTGCCGGGATAGCGGCGCCTGGTCCCAGCAGCTCCCTGGGGAAGGTGTCTGGGACAGGGGATGGCAGCCTGCGGGGTGGCACCGGGTGCAGGGACCTGGCAGAGCGGGACGGAGGAGAGGCAGGTAAGCCACCGCGAGCCCTCGCTTGCCGTTGTGCCTCCTGAAGGTCGGGGAAGCCAAAGCCCACAGCCGGACCTGGGTTAGGGGAAGGCACTTGGGGCAACCCCAGAGGAGCAGCTGGGGTGGTTTTGGGGGGTCCCACCCCACCGAGCACAGCCAGGGGCTGCCGTGGGGGAAGGGGCAGCGCCCCGACCCCGTGCTGGCTGCCTGCCCCAGGCAGCGCCGGAGAGCTTGCAGGGTTAACGTGTGCCACACGTGATGTGGTGACACCGCGATCGGTGCAGGCTGGGAAGGTGACGGGGACATGGCCGCTTCCTCCCTGGGGGCCAGGCCAGCCCGCGCGGTGGCCCGTTGGTGCACGCCAACACGGGGCTGAACGGGGAGCCTGGCAGCCCTCCTTCCAGGCAGAAAGGCGGGCAGGGTGCCCACGCCGTGCACAGCGGCGGTGCCCTGGGCATGCAGGCAGCTGCTGGGGGCGTTGGGGTGCACCCCTGGGACCTGGCAGGCACAGCAGGGTGCTGGGGATGGAGAAGTTCCCGAAGGGACCCAGCTGCACTGACACCAGCACTGTGCCCTGCCCACCCTGGGTTCCCCTCACCCCCCCGCTACCCATGCCAAATATTTACTCCTGGGGGTGGAGTGCTCGGGTGGTGGTGCTGGGGGGAGCAGGACAGTGCTTTTGGGGAGCCCCCCAGCCCTCACTGCTCCCCCGCTGCAGGTTGGAGGCACGGAGAGGCCGCAGGGCTCCCTGACCACCCACGTGCTGAACACGGCCACGGGGCTGCCCGCTGCCCGCCTCGCCCTGCGCCTGGCCCAGCTGCAGGAGCCGGGGGCGCAGTGGAGGGAGCTGGCACAGAGGTAGGGGAGGTGACACCACACAGCCCCGTCCCCCCCGAGACCCCCAGCTGAGAGAGCTACGGGGGGAGGCTTTTAGGGCCATCATCTTGTGCCTCCTTGTGTTTTTAGGTGGACGGATGAGGACGGGCGCTGCCTGCCCCTCCTGCCTCCGGGGCAGGCTAAGGCTGGCACCTACAAGCTGCACTTTGAGACGGCGGCGTACTGGGAGAGCCTGGGGTACAGCAGCTTCTACCCCTTCGTGGAGGTACCTGGCTGAAGGGCACAGAGGGGGGTGCCTGGTGCCTCTGGGAGCCAGCCCTGGTCACTGTCAGAGCTGCAGGGGGGGCTGGAGGCAGTGTCCATGCTTGCAGGAGCTCTCTCCCCCCAGCCACCTCCTGCTGCGCTGCTTGGAGTGGTCCCAGATGACAGGGAGAGGGGCAGGGGCTGCTTGTGGCTGGGGCTTTCTCCCCCTCACCCCTTTTTGCTCTCCCCTAGGTCGTCTTCACCATCACCTGACCCAACCCAGAAGCTGCACGTCCCGCTGCTGATCAGCCCCTACTCCTACACAACGTACCGGGGCAGCTAGGGCAAGGCACATCCTCCCCGCAGGGGCCGCCACTACACGACTGACACCATTAAAGGATTCAAACAGCACCACTAGTCTCAAAAAAAAAAAGAAATCACCTTCCTTGGGGTGGGATGCTGGTGGTATGAGGCAGGCACAGCCCTGCTCCCTGCCCCAGGAGCACCCGAGCACAGCCAGCACCCATGGGTGCTGCCTGGTGTCATGTGGGCACCGCCACGAGTCCCGCGGGGCCCTGCCCCAACGCCTGGCCCAGCACCGGGCTCTCCAGGGGCTTGAAGCCCAGGTTGTCCAGTGGGATCCCAAAAGCGGTCAGCTTCGCCTCCAGCGTCTGCAGCATGTCGTTGTGTGCCTGGAAGAGAAACGCTCCATGTTCTGCTCTGCCAGCACAAACCCCAGCCCAGCCCCTCCTTGCCAGGGTCCCCGCAGCCCCCTAAATGGTGGGGACCCCAAACCAGCCTTGCTTTGCAGGGGAAAGTCAGGGAATTGAGAGCAACGCAGCCCGGGCCAGCACTGCAGGGCATGAAGCAGCTCAGCTGGCCTGCTGTGAGTTCCCTTCCCTCGGAGCGAAGCCAGCCCCAGGGCTTACACCGTGTGCCCAGACCCCTTGCTCACCTTGCAGACTCGGGCCAGCTGGAACTGCAGGTCCTCGATGGTGGTGTTCTTGGAACCGAGCACGTCCTGCAAGGGAAACGGTGCGTTAGGCTTTGGCTAACCGAGGGCACATCGAGCTGGGGCCGTGCTGCAGGCTGGAGCACGGAGCAGCTGGCAGCAGGACACGGCTGAAGCAGGGCAGCTCGCGGCACAGCCGGGCAGACGGCCACCACCACGTCCCCGTGGGGCCAGCGCTGCCAGGGACAGCCAGCCCCGGGCAGAGGCAAGGCCCAGGGAGCTGCCAGACCAAGAGCATGAACGCCAGCTCAGCCCCGCCACCAGCATCTCCTGCCCTGCTGCAAGCGGGGGCGGACGGCAGCACCTGCTCCCGCAGCACCTCCCCGCCGCCACGGCACCGAGGGAATTACAGGGAGAGCCTCCCCAGGAGGGCGCCGGTGGCTGGAGGCAGCTGAGCAAAGGAATTCAGGGACCCCAGCAGCTGAGGGTGACAGCGGCGCCTTGACGCCTTCCCAGGAATGTTTCCCAACGTGCTGCTGTGGCACCTGCTGGTAGGTGGCACATCTGCTCTGCTGTCATACCCACTGGGAGCCTGGGGCTGCTGCCGTGCTCATCCCTAAGGTGCCCCGGCACGGGGGAGACCAGGAGCACCACCAGCACCCAGCACAGAGGGCCCTGGATGGGGCAGGTGGCACAGAGTGAGCAGGAGGGTGCCAGGGAAGCAGAGGCCAAGCTGGGTTGGGAACCTGCATCCCGTCTCCAGCCCGCCTGAAACAAATGCTGCTCCTCCAGTTACTGCTGCTGCACGCTCCAGGAATGTGGGTCTCCGAGCCGCCGCACCGTGCTGAGGCTTTCTGCATTGGTATTTTTAGCACGCCAGACATCGCAGAGCCTCTGGGATCCGGTCTGCACCGCCTCTGCAGCCAGAGAGGCCAGGAGAGGAGCACGGGCAAGGCTCAGCAGCGGTGGCTCCCCGCAGTCGGGGCACCCCAGGTCGCTCGCAGGCCCCGCACGCAGCCTGCTGCTCAGCGCTGCATCGGGAGCCACCTGCCAGCACAGAACCCTGGTGAGCACCGCTCTGCCTGGGGCCATCCTCCTTCAAACAGACTCCACCTGAGGGAGAGATCAGCGCCAAACGCCTACGCCCACATGCCTCGCTCTCGAGGGAGAGCTGGAGTGCCCTGCGGCACCGTGCACAGCGCTGGGAGTGTCGGGAACGAACTGACACGACAGTTACAGGACCTTCACGTGGGGCTTTCAGCACCTGAGCAGGCTGAGGTGCTTGTCACAGCATCCCAGGGCTGGGGACTGGCTGTCCGGGCAGATACCCGCAGTGCAGGGAGGACAGGGACTCTGTTTCCTGCCACACAGCCTGGGTCTGCCCTGGCACTGCCTGGAACGAAGCCCCTCAGGCACCTGGCCACGCTCACGCACTCCAGGATCTGCCCCAGAGCAGGCTCTGCCCCTCAAGAGCCAGCCCTGCTGGGAGAACAGCCTCTGTGGGGCCCTGCAGCAGCGCACGGTACCTCCAGCTTCTGTGAGACCAAGGAGAGGGCGCCCGGGTCGAGGTTGGAGGCTGCAAAGACCTCGCTGAGCTCCACCTCCTTCTTCTCCAGGACGTCGAGGAGTCCTTTCAGCTTGCGCTCCAGGAGCAGGTTCTTGAAGCCCGTCTTCTGCTGCACCTCGTTAATGGCTTTGGTGAACTTCTGGTAGAGCTCATCTCGCTCTGCCTGCACCTGCTCCGAGAACATGGCACGGCTTCACACCGCCCCCGGGACCCCCCCCGGCAGCCACCCAGGGCTGGGAGCAAACAGGCCGTGCCGCTCAGCCCTGCCTGCTCCAGCGAGAGCCGGGCTGTTCCCCACAGCACCTGCACCCCGCGGGGAACACAGGTGCTGGAGCACAGCTCCCCCCCTCCTGCTGTGCTGGCACCACCTCGGCACCTGCAGCTCTGCTTCCTCTGTCCCCTGGCACAGGACACCCCCCAGCAGCAGGGACCCCACCCCATCCATCCATCAGCACCTGCCCCGGTGCAGCCCCTGCTACTCAAACCCTGGCATAGCCCAGCTACTTCTCCTCCAAACAGCTCGGCTCCCCCCAAACCTCCCCCTTCCTGGGCCCCTGCAGGGAGAGAATTGGTCCCCGCTGTCCCCCCCCAGCAGCACAGGATCCCTGCTTCATTGGCCTGACCCCGACTCCAGGCTCCCCAGTGCTCTGCCCCCAGGCACTGCTTCAGAGCTCAGAGAGGGCCTGCGGCGTGCAGGGGTCTCTCCTCCTCCCCTTCCTGCAGCTGGCAGGAGTCCCCGGCTCACAGCTAGTTAATAAGTGTCCTAATTAGGATTTCTCCTCCAAAGCCTATTTCTGACTGCACTGAATACGTTGCTGCCTTAATGATGGATTGTTAACGAGGCCTCAGATCAATGTTCATATTCCTGGGGATTTCTACGACTTGCAAATGAGCTCTGTTCTGCCTCAATACGTTTATCTGGGTTAGCTGGAAGGGAGAGGCTGAGGCTGGGGGGATATTCTGACAACAATATTCCTTGAAGAGGCTGCACGGCGAGAGGGGAAGCGGCACCCACGCACCAGCAGGACGAGGGAGCCACCGCCCCCGGCTCTCCCCGCTGCAGCGGGAGCCCCTCCATGCGGATCCTCTCGTGACCCAGCCTGTCACCAGCGGGCCAGGAGGGGACCATCAGCACACGCATGATTGCTCAGCGAAGTACAAGGCCGGGCCTGTCTGCTGAGCACGAGAGATGCCAAAGCCGCGATAAGCTCTGCTGGAAGCGGCAGCTAACACGCAGCTCCAGATCAGGGCTTTGGAAAGCCCTTTGCTAAGCGCAACGTAGGCACCGCTGCTAAGTCCCGGTGCCTAACCCTGTGTAAAGAGGGAAAGTGGATGCCCAGAGCCACCTGCAGCTCTCACCTTACTGAACCGCTGCTCCAGCACCTCGTGTTCCCACTGAAGGTCTTTCAGTTCCTTCTGGATGACTTTCAGACGGGCTTTTGTGTTCTGCGAGTGGGAAGGGACAGTTAAAGAGTGCAAGGTTCTCCAGGGGGTGGTATGTGTTCTGGCAAGGGAGGAGAGAGACCAGCAAAGGGAGAGGGGTGAGAAAACACAGGCTGCGCCCACATCTCCCTCCCCTCTCTGCAGCAGGGGCTGCTCCTCTCTCTTCCTGACAGAATCCTGGAGTCCCACCTGAGATCTTGCACACAACTAAGCTGAACGGGACTCGGAGGCATTTGCTCAGCAATCTGGCCAACCAGCCCTCTGCTGAGCGGCAGAGGTCACTGCTGAGCGACTCCACTCCAGAGAACAGCCGCAGTGACTCAGGGAAGAAGAGAAAGGGGCTCCCAGCAGGGCTGGAAACTCACCGTCAGAGCCTCCTTGTCCATGTCATAGTGGGCCAACTTCTTCTGCATCTCAAACACCTGCTCCTGGGTCTGCTGCAGGGTCTCCTGCTGTTGCTTCTTGTGGAGCAGCAAATCTGCCTTCTCCTTTTCCAGCTGATTCTCTCTCTTCTTCCTCTCCTCCATCTGCTCCTGTTCTTGGGAAGAGGAGCGCTGGCTCCTGGAGGGGCTGTGCAGCAGGGTCTGCCCAGCTCCTCACGCTGCCAGGACACCCTCCCACTGCCAGCCCGGCAAGCCACATCTCCTTGTGCACAAGGGCTTTGTGTGTTAATGGTGTGCAGGAGAACAGCAGCACCAGCACCTCCACCAGGGAGCTGGCCAGGTCTGGGTGAGGTCCTTACAGGACCAGCCCCACCACAAGCCAGGGCTGCGGCAGCAGGCAGGCAGTACCTTGAGCAAGTTGATGAGTGCCAGGTTTTTGAGGGTGATATCGTTGTAATAGTTCTTGATCTCACTGAAGGCCTTCTCGTGGTTCTTCATCAGCTCACTGATCTGGTTGTTTTTCCTCTCTTCTACCTCATGGATCTCGGTCTTCCGGCGCAAGTCAAGCTCGTCCCGCAGCATTTGCATCTTCTTGTTGTACTTGGCCTCGATCTCTGGGGAAGCACATGGGGGTAAGGACAGCGAGCACCAGCCCAGCGCGTCCCACTGCAGCATCGCTCGAGGACAAGGCGCTCACTAACAGCCCCACCAGGACACAGAGCGGTTACACTGGGACCAGACTGAGTAGAGCCCAGAAATAGCATTCTGGAAACAGGACATGGAAAAGCTCCAAGTCAGCCCGTGAGAACCTGAAGCGTCCCCTGAGAGGGGTGGGGAGCCAGGGCTTGCATCTGCAAGGGCTCCTCCAGCCAGCAGAGCTCAGCGATGCAGGCTGGCAGCAGTAAGAGCCCTGCCTCCACCCCCAGCTCACACAACAGGTGGCCATCCCAGCCCCATTTCCATGGCACAACCCCACCAAGCTGGGAGTTCAGCTCAGAGAGCGCTGCTGGCCACGCAGCCTGGCAGCCCGTGGGCACGGGGAGCAAGCACTGGCGGGGAGAAGCAGCCCCTTTCTGCTCCACGGAACCAGGAGTGCAGTGGAGCTCGGAGAAGCCTTCCCCAGAGTGCTGACACACGGCCTGACCTTTCACTTGTCTCTCAAAGTCGTTGCACAGCCGCGTGATCTCTTCCTCTTGTTTCTGTGAGGGAGAAGTTCCATGTTAGAGGTGGACAACCCAACCCCGAGGTCACTGCACCGCTACACAACCCAGTCCCTGAGGTTCACGCAGGCCTCCAGGCCAGGCCCAACCATGGGGCTGGGTTCCAGCAACCAGGAACCACCCCAGCAGGCAGCCAAAACCCGTTCTGCTCCCTGGGAAAGGCTCCCACCACGGCATGAACCCCACGTTATTTGAGCAGAGTGGCATGTTAGGTTCTCCAGCTGTTCCCAGGGGTTTTTAGCCACTGCTGGTGCCCTGCTGTAGGAGGGATTTCACAGAAATTGCCCCAGAAAGCCCTCCTCCCTGTTCCCGTGCTGTCTTTCCAGTGCCTATAAGTACATTTGACACTGGGGTCTGCAGGAAACCCCATTCCCACCTCACCAAGACAGCAGAGGAGACAGTCTCCTGCTCACACACCATGGCTGGGAGGGCTCAGACAGCAGCCCCACCACTTCCCTCTGAGGCAGAGGCTCCTCACACGCGGCTCCAGCCCCCGCTGCCCTGCCAGGCACCTACCAGGCGCATGTTTTTCACCACCACCTCGTTGGCCAGCTCTTGCTCCTTCAGCTCCACCTTTAAGGAGCGCATGTCTTTGCGCAGCTCCATCTCCTGGGCCCAGTGATCCTTCTGGGCCCGCCTCATGGACACGGTGCCCTCTGCCTTCAGCTCGGTGAGGTTTTCCTGGTGCTCGTACAGCAAGTGCTTCACCTTCTGCTTGTAAACCTAGAGACAAGCCAGAGAGCAGGTGACGGGCGCCAGCAGGAAAACATCTGAAGCTGGGATATTGGCAGAGATGCTCCTGGCTCGTATCCTGCCCAGCTCCTCCACCCCAGTCCCTCACCTCACGCAGGGCTCGGGGCACGCACACGCCCCAGCCGTTTCATCCTCCCACCTTGATCTCCACTTGGTGCCGCTCCTCCGCCTCCTCCATCTCGCGGTCCTTGTTACGCAGCTCGGCTTTCTTCTCCTCCAGCTGCCGGCGGGTGATCTCCCAGAAGGTGTGAATCTTATCACGCTCCAGCTGGAAGTAGTTGCGCTCTTCCCGCTCCCGATCCAGCTCCTCCCGGAGACGCACAACGTGCTGCCCCAGCTGCAAGGCCAAGAGAAGGAGGCAGGTAGTGGGAAAAGGGGGCCTGGGACAGATGGCTCTTCTCAAGATACCCGTGGTGAGCTCTGTTGGAAACCTGCAGAACACGGTAGCCTCTGCTGGGACAGAGGAAAGGAGGACGAAAAGTGGGGATGGGGCAGGGAGAGCCCAGGACATGACAGTGACCCACTGGCCTCTGGAAAAGGAGTGACAAAACCTCCTCCTACCCTAAGCAGCCAGGGCTTGGCCATTCTGTCTCCCAGTGGCCAGTGACACGTTCTCAGATGCTAGATAGCACTGAGACATGCAAGATCTTATCCTGGGAGCGAGATCGCCCAGGTCAGGACCGTCTCCTCCTGGTTTTTAGGTACCCAGCACAGTATGATCTGGGATGTGCTGAGAGTGCTGCAGGCTGAGCGATCACACGGCTGAGTGCAAGCGCAGCCACCTGTGGAGATGGGCCTGCTCACCCGAGCAAAGCATCAGATGCAGAAAGAAACCGATTCCAGCAGAATTGGTCAGCAGGGTTACTTTCTAAAGGAAACACCACAGAACACTTGTCAGATAATAAGCTCCCATCACAGGCACCTTTCCCGGGACATTTCCACACCAGCAGGTCACTGACACGAGGGAACAGGGCTCCAGGGCTAAGGGACGAGGGCAAAGACGGCGAGAGCCCAAGGAGGGGAGCGGCACGCCATGGAACAGGAGAAGCACGGACACGACGAGGGGGCTGCTCCTGGCAGGCACTGACCGCACCGAGCACCAAGTATCCCCCCACCCCGCGGCCCCAAAGGCAGCAGCCCCGGGGCCGGGCCGCGCTCACCTGCTCCCTGCTCATCTCCTCGGGGGCCGAGGCGTCCACCACGGCCGGGGCCTTGCCGCCCTTCCCCTTCTTCACGGCCTTTTTGGGCGCCTGAGGAAGGAGAAGGAGAAGAAAATGTAGACGAGGATGAAGATTAAGAATAATTAAGAAGGAGAAGAAGGAGCAGGAGCAGGGCCGCGTTACGAGGGGGGGAAGCTCCGGGGGCAGCGCCCGGGCCCGGGCCAGGCCGGGCAGGCCCGGGGACCCCTCAGCACCGCGCCCGGACCCCCCGGGGCGCCCCCACCGCCGGGCCCCGGCCTCCTGCAAGCCCTCAGGGTCCCTCCAGGAATCCGAATCCGAATCCCGATCCCGATCCCGGTCCCGGTCCCGGTCCCGGTCCCGGTGCCCCCCCCCGGTGCAGGCCCCGGTGCCCACCATGGCGGCCAGGCCGCGGCGCCGTCTCCTTGGCAACGCGCGGGGAAGTCTCGCGAGATTTGCTCGACGGAGGCCCCGCCCCTTAGCAACGGGGGGCCCGGCCCCGGTAACGGCGTCGGGGCCCGGCCCAGCCCCGGGACCCGGCCGTGCCCGGGGCCCCGCTGCCCCCCCGGCCCCCCCCCGGCCCCAGAGCCGTTACCCTGCGGCCTAACGGAGCCCCTCAGTCCTTCGGGAGCCCCTCTCCGCCCCCCGTTTCCCCCAGCTCCCCGCCCCGGTGCGCGCCCCCCCCCCCGGTGCATCCCCGGGGCCCCTCAGCACCCCCGGCCCCACAGCCTGCAGCGGGCCCCCCCCCTCTATCCGAGGCCCCCGCCTCGCTCCCGGTGCCCCCCCCCCTCTCGGTGTGCCCCCCCCCTTTTGGTGTGCCCCCCCCGGTGTGCCCGTTCCGTTTCCCGGTGCCCCCCGGTCCCCCCCCCGGGGTAGGATGAGCCGCCCCCCACCCCCCCAAAGGCCCCGGGCCCGGCCCCCGCCCCCGCACCGCCCCCATCCCCGCCCCCGCCGCGGCGGGCAGGAGCGTGCGGGCTGCGGGCTGGCACCGGGCCCGCCCCGCCCAGCACCGGCACCGGCACCGGCACCGGCCCGGCCCGGCCCATGGAGGCTCCGGGAGCGGGCGGCACCGCAGGTGAGCGGGGATGGGCCTGGGGGGGGGGGGAAAAAAAGCAGCGAAGAGCCCAGCACCGGGGAACCGGGGAACCGGGGGGGGGGGGGGGCAGCGGGGGCCGGAGGGGCTCGGGAAGGGGGTGGGGGGGAAGGGGGGGTGTGAAAAGGGGGGGTGGGTGTGCAAGGGGGGGGGTGCAGGGGGTGTGTCAGGGGGTGCCTGCGTGCACCAGGGGGTGTAGGGGGGGGCTGTGGGGTGGGGGAGCCGGGGGGGGCATGTTTTAACCCCCCCGCCCCCCGTTATTGGGTTTGGGGGGGGTTCACCCAGGGTAGGGGGTGCGGTGTGCCCCTCGCACAGGGGGTGTTGGGGGGCTGCCGCCCGCCTGCAGCGCCTGGGGAGGGGGGGGTGGCCATGGGGTGCAGCCGGGGGGGTCCCCGGTGCCACAGCGGGGGGCACGCAGGTGGCATCGAGTGGCACCCGCGCCCACCCAGCCCTCCTGTGTGTGCCCCGCATGTGGCGCTGCCACCGCCCCCACCACGACCCCGCTGTGCCCTCCTGCCACATTGGGCCCTATAGCGGGGTTGGGGTCCCGTGGAGGTCCCCGGAGCCCCCCCCCCACCCCGGTTGGGGTGGCCGGAGCCCGGTGCTGGCTCACTCTGCGGTTGACGTGAGTCAGCAGCGCGCCCAGCCCTGCCGCCAGCCCCGCTCCTCGCCCCTGAGCCCGAGCTGGGGGCTGGCAGCATCAGGCGGGGGGCACGGGGGGATTGCTGCGGTGGGGAGCAGCTGGGTGGTGCCGGGGGGAACGGGGACGCTGCCACCTCGCTCCGGGCGGTGACACCCCCATGTCACCCTCAGGGGGGCTGTGGTGCAGGGGGCAGCCCCACACCTCCCTGGGGATGGGGACGGGTGTGTATGGGGTTCCTCCTGGGTGAGGAGCGGGGTGGGGACCCGTTTTCCCCGCCGCAGGGAAGGTGGTGGCGGTGGCGGGTGCCCCGTGCCACCGTTTGGGGTCGGGGCAGGTGCACGGGCTGCCTGCTGCCCTCCCTGCCCAGCACCGGGGCCAAATCTCCCTGAAATTCCCCATTCCCCGTGCTGGCTCCTTGGTGCAGGGGCGTTCTGCCCCTTGCCCCATCTTGGGGGGGCAGAGGTGACCCCCCTGCCCCGCTGAGCCCGTCCCCGTGCCCCGTGCCATCTCCCCCAGCAGCAAACCAGGGCCCAGTGGCACAAGGCTGGGGCTGCCCGGGTGCAGCCGTGACACCGGGTGGGTTGGGGGGCTGCCCCACACTTGGGGGGCTCTCAGAGCCAGCCCAGCCCCCCCAGCACCGTGCCGTGTCTGCCCGGCCCCGCCAGCTCCCCCCAGGAGACAAAACGCCTCTTGTCTGGGCTCCGGCCTCCGAACAGGCTGCGCTTTTGTCTCGCCGACACAAAGGGGCTGCGAGGGGCGGGGGGCTGCCGGGGCCCACGGCAGCTGCCTCGGAGCGCTGCCTGTTCCGCGGGGGTCCCGGGGCTGGGGACACGCAGCCCCCTCAGCTGGGGAGCCCCCGGGCGGGCGGTGGGGCTGCAGGAGGGAGCTGCCGGCACTGCCCCGGCCCCAAACCAACGAGGCAGGTGCCGGTTCTGCAGAGCTGGGCAAGGAGACACTGGCCCCGGAGCGAACGGCGGGGACCCCCATCCCTGGGACGGCTGAGGAGACCCCCGACATCCCCGTGGAGGAGCAGGGCGGCATCCCCATCCCCACCGCCAGCCTGCTGCAGGTCACCGAGCGGAGACGTGAGTGCAGCCCCCGCGCCCCTCTCAGCCCCTTGTCCCTCCTCGGGTCCCCTCCCAGCACCCTCGGGTCCCCCCGGGCCCCCATCCCCGCGGTGCCCAGCCGTGCCCACCCCCGTCCCGCCGCCCGCAGAGCCGCTGAGCAGCGTGTCCTCGCTGGAGGTGCACTTCGACCTGCTGGACCTGACGGAGCTGACCGACATGTCGGACCAGGAGCTGGCCGAGGTCTTCGCCGATTCCGACGAGGAGAACGCGGCCGGCGAATCGCCCAGCGGTGATTTTGAACCCCCCCCGTCTCGCTGCCGTCCTCACGGGGGGGCGCGGGCTGAGCCTGCTGTCCCCGCAGGGCTGCACCCGCAGGCCATGCCGCGGGCAGGGTACCTGCGCTCGCCCTCCTGGACCCGCGCGCGGGAGCAGGGCCGGGACAAGAAGCACCTCAGCGACTCGGAGCTGCAGCCGGGCGCCGTGGACGCCTTCCTGGCGGTGGAGCGGCCGCAGCAGGAGTAGGAGCTGCCCCAGGAGGTGGGGACAGGCTCCACGCCGCCGTTCTCCAACCGCATTCCCCACGCCCTGCCCGGGAAAAGCCGTGCGGGGCGAAGGACTCGCTGCTGGGGTGCTCGGGGTGGCCCCAGCCCGCGGGTACCAAGCGATGCCAAAGCCGGTGGCCTGGTGGGGAGGGGGAAACGGCTCCTCCCGGCCCTGTAGCACAAAGGGGGCCGCGCTGCCCGGCCCCCACCTTCCCCCCCCTGTTATGGTCCTGGCCCCTGGGAGCCCTGGCTCAGCGGGGCCGGGAGCCGCACGGTGCCACCCGCCACCACGTAGCAGCTGTGTGTACCGGTAAAACCGAGAGACCCATGGTCACGGCTCTGCCCCGTCACTGGGAAAAAGGGGGGTGCGACCCCCAGATGGGGGGGGGGAGCTGCCAGAGGTGGGGGCGGCGTAAAAAGGAGCCTGTGCTGCCAGCGGGGGGAGCAGGGAACAGGGGGAGCCCCTGCAGGAGCAGCACCGGGCATGGGGCAGGGGATGGGGAGGGGCGCAGGGCAGCCTGCATGGCAGGACAGCCAGACCCCATGTGTGAGGGCCCCCCCCGAGCCCACCGAAGCCCCCCCCCAGCCAGTGACCCCCCTGCTCTGCCAGAAGCAGCCCCCAGCTGGGCTCACGACGGCGGCGCTGTGCAAAGAGGCCACGCTGCTGCGACAGAGACCGGGCGAGTGTTGCAGGAGCGGTGTTGGGGGACAGGACACGGGTGGGTGCAACGCGCAGTGGGGGCTTCCACGAGCAGCAGCGAGCAACGGGGGGGGGCCAGCAGCGTGCAGGACCCCTGCCGTAGTGTCACACACGGGCACTGCCCTTAACTCCCCCCCTCACACCCCCCAACCCCTTGGCCCAGTCCTTCACCATGCTAACGTGTGTCCCACGGTGCAGGGGGAACAAAACCAAGTGGTATTTCCCCCAAACCAGCAGCATCCAAGCAGGTAGTGTTCACCCAGGCAGGGCCATGCACGGTGGCTGCCGGCAGCCCCCCCAGGGCAGGAGGCACCCCCCAGCTCCCGGCTCTCCCCCCACGCACCCCGCCCGGCCCTTTGGGAGCGCGCGGAGACGGAGAGAAATCCAGGGCAGCCTCAGCCCCGTCCTGGCACCCTTGCCCTTCCTGGCAGAGCCCGTTCCTCCTGCTCCGCTGGCACGGAGCCGGGGCCACGGGCTGGGAGCTCGCAGAGCCCACGCCTGGGGCCGGGCCCCCCCTAGGGCTCTGCCTCGGCCACCGAGTCCTGGAAGAGGGACTGCTTCCGCAGGCTGAGCCGGGCGCACTTGGGGCACGTGGTGGAGTTGTCGTAGTAGCAGTCCCTGTGGGGATGGGACACATCAGGGAACGCCGGGGAGGGTCCCGGAGCTGCCCGGACCCCCTCCCACCACCACCACCACGGCACCCGAGGGGAACGCGGCGAGGCACCGGCACCCGGCGTACCTGTGGAAGACGGCGGAGCAGTCGGTGCACACCGAGGTGTGGCTGTCGAAGGGGAAAAGCACGTCGCCCTCCTTGCACAGCTCACACACGAAGCCTTTCGCCTGGCAGCGCTGCGGCGAGAGGGGGCAGAGGGGGCTCCGGTACCCGGATGCTTGGCAGGGACCCCCAAAGACCCCCACGCACGCCCTCCACGTGGCTCTGGCCCCGTGGGGCCGTGCCCAAAGCCACCCCACGGCACGGCCCCGCTCACCTCGCAGTCCAGCTTGATGTGCTTGGCGAAGAGGGTGTGGATCTCGGTCAGGGAGCAGCTCAGGCGCCCGGCCTCGATGTCGATGAGGTCCTGCAGCGAGTACATCTCGTCGTTCTCCACAAAGTGCTGCCGGTCCTGCAGCTGTGGGCGGGTGGGCGTCAGCACCGTGCCCGTCACCGCGCACCGGGGGCCTCCCTGGCCTCGGCCTCTCCTTCCTTCCCTCCCTCCCTCCCGCCCTGACCTGCAGCAGCAGCCGCGCCTCCATCGCCTCCTTGCAGGTGATGAAGTAGGGCTTCATCAGCAGGATGTCCTGGCGCAGTTTCTGCGGGGGGGGGACGGGGCAGGGAGGAGACGGGGACAGGATGGGGACAGGGTGAGATTGGTGAGGGCGTGGGTGTGGGAGAGGGTAAAGATGGACATGGGATGGGGACAGGAACAGGTTGGGGACAGGGACAAGGCCCTGCTGGGTCAGTCCCAGCCCTGCAGCACTTCAGGACCCCCCCACCCTGCCCTGCTCCCCCTTCCCAGCCCCCAGCGGGCGCTGCTGGCCCCAGCCCCCTCCCCGCTTAATGCCATCCGTCCCCCCAGCCCCATTCAGGGGTCCCCATTCCCCCCATCCTTTCCCCCACCCCCTGCCCACCCACGGCCCCGCTGCACTCACCCGGATCTCCACCAGCTCCTCCACGTAGTTGAAGAGCAGGGGGTTGATCTCCCGCAGCTTCAGCACGGGCCGCGACACCATCAGCGCCAGGTACCGCATGCTGCAGCGCGACACCTGCGTGCCCACCACCGTCACCCCACAACCCCGGGAGCTGCCCCCCCAGGACCCCATAACAAAGCCACAGCCCCCCCAAGTCACCTCCACCCACGGACGCATCCCCCAGGGACCCCTCGCTTGGGGCCGTGCCCTCCCAAGTGACCCCCCTTGGACCCCCGCAGCCCCCCCCCAGCAGCACGGGCACCTTGCGGGGCTCAAAGTCCCAGTTGTGGATGGCGCGGGCGGGGACGACGGCCAGGTCGTTCCAGTGGCAGCTGCTGCAGTAGTAGAGGCCGGTGTAGTCGCACTGCCGTGCCTCGCTGGGCACCCCCCCTGCGGCAGCACACCCGTCGGTACCGGCACCCACAGCCCCAGAGCCCCAACGCCCCCCTCCCACAGCCCCCCCCCGGTGCCTTACGGAGGGCGATGGGTGCCCGGCACTCGGCGCAGCGGTAGTCCTGGCTGTCCAGCCCGCTCTCGGGGCAGATGCTGAGCTGGTACTCGGCTTGGTGGCTCACCTTGGACCTGACGCAGGGCTTGGTGACCAGGGGCAGGCACTTGCTGTGGCACCGGTAATAGCACCCTGCGGGCGGGTGGATGTCAGCACGGGGCCGAGGAGGGGATATGGGGGGGGGTATCGGGACCCCAGACCCACCTGTGCAGGTGTACCAGGTCTGGATGAGCCCCCAGATGATGGTGCTGCACTTGTCGCACGTCTGCTTGACGCTCTTGCTCTTCTCCTTGTAGAAGCGGTGCTCCAGCACCACACGGATGTTGGGCTCCTCCTCGTCGGGGTCCTGCGGGCGGCGGGGGTCAGCGTGGGCCCCCCCAGAGCCACAGACTCCCACCCTGAGACCCTCAGGACCCCCCCAGGACCCTCAGAACCCCCTCTCCAGGGCCCCCAGGACCCTCAGAACCCCTTCTCCAGGGCCTCCAGGGCCCCCAGAACCTCCCAAGACCTGCAGGACCCCCCAGGACCCTCAGAACTCCCTATCCAGGGCCCCCACGACCCTCAGGACCCCTCCAGGACCCTCAGAACCCCCTTCTCCAGGGTCCTCAGGACCCTCAGAACCCCCTCTCTAGCGCCCCTAGGACCCACAGGACCCCTCTCCAGGGCCCCCAGGACTCTCAGAACCCCCCAGGACCCCCTCTCCAGGGCCCCCAGGACTCTCAGAACCCCCCAGGACCCCCTCTCCAGGGCCCCCAGGACTCTCAGAACCCCCCAGGACCCCCTCTCCAGGGCCCCCAGAACCACCCAGGACCCTCAGAACCCCTCTCCATGGCCCCCAGGACCCTCAGGACTGCCCCCACGGCCCCCAGGACCCCCTTGAACCCTCAGAGTCCCCAAAGGACCTTCCAACCCACTCTCCATGGCCCCCAGGACCCCCAGGAACCCCTCTCCAGGACCCCCAGAACCCCCTCAGGACCTCCCCCAGGACCCTCCAACCCCCTCTCCATAGCCCCCAGGACCCTCAGAACCCCCCAGGACTCTCAGAACCCCATCTCCAGGACCCCCAGGACCCTCCAGGACCCTCAGAACTCCTCTTCATGGCCCCCAGGACCCCCTCAGGACCTCCCCCAGGACCCTCCAACCCCCTCTCCATAGCCCCCAGGACCCTCAGAACCCCCCACGACTCCCAGGACCCCCCTCTCCAGGGTCCCCAGGACCCTCCAGGACCCTCAGAACCCCTCTCCAGATTCCCCAGGACCCTCCGGACCTCCCCCAGGACCCTCCAACCCCCTCTCCACGGCCCCCAAGACCCTCAGGACCCCCCCCAAAACCCCCATTCCCCCCCTCCAAACCCCCCCCAAGTCCTCCCCGGCCGCACCTGCAGCTCCTGCAGCTTGAGGCGGAGGTGGATGAGGCGCACCACGGCGTCCTTCTGGCGCTCCGAGTGCTCGGGCAGCGCCAGGATGGCCCGCTTGCACTCCTCGATGGCGCGGCGCAGCTGCCGCACGTCGGGCGCCAGGATCAGACCCTGCGGGACGGGGGGGGGGGGGACGGCTTCAGACCCCCGGTGCCCCCCCCCAGACCCCGGCTCCCGCTCCCCCCACTCACCACGGGCCGCGAGAAGTGGTCCTCGGCCAGCCCCAGGTCCATGGGGGGCTCCGGGCTCTCCGCGTCCCCCGGGCACGGCTCCGGCCGCCGGGCAACCGACGGGGGGGCACCGGGGGGAGGCTCCTCGGCTCCTCCCCCCCCGGTGGGATTCTCGGGACCCTTGTTGAAGGGGTTGAGGTGAGCCTGGCGGAACCGGGCCAGCTTCTCGTCGTACGCCATCGCCGCACCGGGACCGGCACCGGGACCGGGACCGGCACCGCGCAGCACCGGCTCAGCGCCGCCCCCGGTACCGGCCCCTCCCGCAACACCGGGGCGGGTCCCACCTCCCCCCCCCCCCCCCCCCCCATCGCCACTCCCCCCCCCTCCTGCCCCCCCTGGCGGCCGGCGGAGCGCGCAGCGCCCGGGGGGGGGGCCCAGCCCTATAAGCGAGCCCCCAGCCCCACCCCAGCCCCCTCGCCCCATGGGGACCCCCTTCGAGGGGGTGGAGCGAGCCCTGCGCCTTGCTGCCCCCCAGCCGGGTTTTATTCCCCCCCCCCCTCCAGGGCTGTGCACCCCCCCCCGCCATCAGCTGGGACAAAAGGGGCAGCAGGGGGCGCCCCCCGAGCATTGTCCGGGGGGTGACAATGGCTGGGGCACGGCCCCGATGGGTGTTGGGGGTCCCTAACCCACCCCCCCCCCCCACGGGTCACTGAGCACCCCCCTCCCACCACCAGCCCGGGCCTCCCCCCCCCCCCAAGTAGACACAGACAGGGAAGGAACCGGACAGCAATAAATTTATTGAGTATTCCAAAAAAAATATTAGACACGAACCAGTAAAAAACGAAAAGGGGGGAGGGGGGAGGCCGGGGGGGTCACGGGAGGGGCCGAGCTAACGCAGGGCAAGGGAGGAGAGGGGAAGGGGAGGGGGGGGGAGCAGACACTGAAGGGGCGAGGACGGGGCCCCCCCCCCAGGAAGCAGCGGGGCCGGCGGGCGATGGCGAGCGGGGCCGGCATCACTTGGCGCCCTGCGCCTCCGACTCCTCCTCGTCATCCTCGTACATCTCGCCCTCCTCCTCGGCCGTGGCGTCCTGGTACTGCTGGTACTCGGACACCAGGTCGTTCATGTTGCTCTCGGCCTCGGTGAACTCCATCTCGTCCATGCCCTCGCCCGTGTACCAGTGCAGGAAGGCTTTGCGGCGGAACATGGCCGTGAACTGCTCCGAGATGCGCTTGAAGAGCTCCTGGATGGCCGTGCTGTTGCCGATGAAGGTGGAGGACATCTTCAGCCCCCGGGGCGGGATGTCGCAGACGGCCACCTTGACGTTGTTGGGGATCCACTCCACGAAGTAGGAGCTGTTCTTGCTCTGGATGGCCAGCATCTGCTCGTCCACCTCCTTCATGGACATGCGGCCGCGGAAGACGGTGGCCACGGTGAGGTAGCGGCCGTGGCGCGGGTCGCAAGCGGCCATCATGTTCTTGGCATCAAACATCTGCTGGGTGAGCTCGGGGACGGTGAGGGCGCGGTACTGCTGGGACCCGCGGGCCGTCAGCGGGGCGAAGCCGGGCATGAAGAAGTGGAGGCGAGGGAAGGGCACCATGTTGACCGCCAGCTTGCGCAGGTCGGCGTTGAGCTGGCCGGGGAAGCGCAGGGAGGTGGTGACGCCGCTCATGGTGGCCGAGACGAGGTGGTTGAGGTCGCCGTAGGTGGGGGTGGCCAGCTTGAGGGTGCGGAAGCAGATGTCGTAGAGCGCCTCGTTGTCGATGCAGTAGGTCTCATCCGTGTTCTCCACCAGCTGGTGGATGGAGAGGGTGGCGTTGTAGGGCTCCACCACCGTGTCCGACACCTTGGGGGACGGCACCACGCTGAAAGTGTTCATGATGCGGTCGGGGTACTCCTCGCGCACCTTGCTGATCAGCAGGGTGCCCATGCCCGAGCCCGTGCCACCGCCCAGCGAGTGGGTGAGCTGGAAGCCCTGCAGGCAGTCGCAGTTCTCGCACTCCTTCCGCACCACGTCCAGCACCGAGTCCACCAGCTCGGCCCCTTCTGTGTAGTGCCCCTTGGCCCAGTTATTGCCGGCCCCGCTCTGACCTGCGAGGGAAATGAGGGGGGAGGAAAAAAAAAAGAACAAAAGACACAATGGGTGCTGGGGGGGGGACAAGGCACCGAGATCTGATTCTGGGACAGGGTGGGGACCAGGAGCTGCTGGGGCTCAGCGCCATGAGGACGCACCCACAGACGGCCCCGGGGCCGGACGGGTGAGGGACGCGGCCCCACCGGCACTGCCCCCCCCCCCCCAGCCCACGGCACAGGGCGCGGCCGCCTACCGAAAATGAAGTTGTCGGGGCGGAAGAGGTGCCCGAAGGCACCCGAGCGCACGCTGTCCATCGTCCCCGGCTCCAGGTCCACCAGGATGGCGCGAGGCACGTACTTGTGAGCTGCGGAGAGACCTCGTGCTGGAGGGGACCCAGCGCCCCCCCGAACCCCCCCCCCGGGGTCGCATGCATTGTCCTCAAACCACAGGGGCTCACGGGGCTGGGTGCACGTGCTGCTCCCCCAGACAAAAGGCTCCCCACTGGGTCGGCTGCATACGTCCACACCTCCCTCCCAGAAACCCCCCCTAGGGTCCCATGGGGCTGGGTGCACCCCTGCCACCCCCCCAAAAAAAAAAATAACCAAGGGGGTGCAACACAGCTGGGTGCACGCGCCCATCCCACCCAAACCCCAAACCACGGGGGTCTCATGGAGCTCATTTTCCCCTTTTCCTCCCCCAAACCGTCGGGTCCCCAGAGGCTGGGGGTATTTATCTGTCCCCACCCCACCCCGCAGGGATGCGGGGGGGTCACACAAAGGGGGGGTATCGGTGCCCCGGTCCCCGGGGGCTTACAGGAGGCCTCATTGTAGTAGACGCTGATGCGCTCCAGCTGCAGGTCCGAGTCGCCCACGTAGTTGCCGCTGGGGTCTATGCCGTGCTCATCGCTGATCACCTCCCAAAACTGGGGGGGGGGGGCACGGCCTCAGCGTGGGCGGTGGCCCCGTGCTGGGACCGTGTCCCCCCCACCCCCACCCCCTCGGGACCAGGCACCGGGGCTGCCGCAGCCCGGGACCCCCCCCCCAAAAAAAAACCCCGGGAGGGGCGCTCAGCACCGGGGCTGGGCGGGGAAGCACCGGGGGCGGTGGGTGGGGAAGCACCGGGTGGGGGGTGCCCCATGGGGGTGTTGTGGGGGGGGGGTCGGGCAGGGGGGCGGCGGGGCCCCTCCCGGTACCGGGTCCGCCGCGGGGGCGGGCGCTGTCCGCGGTGCTGAAGGGCGGACAAAGGAGCGGGGCGGGGCCCTTTGTGTGCCCGGTGCGGCGGAAAGAGAGAAGCGGGGAGGGGGGGGGATGGCGGGGAGGGGGAGAAGGGGGGGGGGGGGGTCTTTGTCCGCCGCTCCGCAGCGCCGGGGCGGTGCCGGTGTCGGTGCCGGTGCCGTTACCTTGGCGCCGATCTGGTTGCCGCACTGCCCCGCCTGGATGTGGACGATCTCCCTCATGGTGCGGCCGGGCCGGGTGCGCAACGGGAGCGGAGCGGGAGCGGGACCGGGAGCGGGAGCGGCACCGGCAGCGCGGGGGGCGGCCCCGCCGCCGCCGCCGCCTTTATAGGGACCGCGCGCCGCACCGGGCCGGGCGCTGACGTCACCGCCGCGCCGTAGCCAATCAGCGCCCGCCGCCGCAGCCCTGCAACAGCCCCTGCGGCACCGGCACCGGCACCGGCACCGGCACGGCCCGGGGTAGCCCGGTCCGGTATGGCCCGGTATGGCCCGGTCCGGTATGGTCCGGTATGGCCCGGCCCGGCTGCTCCGTGCTCAGCCCGTTCCCGGTGCCCCGGCACCGCCCAACCGGAGCATCCCCGGTACCGGGGGTCGTCGCCGCACGAGCACCCCCCCCACACCCAGACACGGACACGCACGGGGAGGGGAGGGTGGGGAGGGGGCCCCGCAGCCGCTGTGGGGGAGGGGAGGCGGCACGCCCACCCACGGACACGCGTGGGGGGACCCCGGCCCCCGCCCGACCCCACGGAGATTGGGGCCACACCGGCACCCGGACCCGCTCCGAGCATCCTCGGGGCAGCGGAGCCCGGCCCGGTGCTGCCCGGGGGGCTCCGTCGGGGCCGGGGGGCTCTGTCCCGGTGCCGGCAGCGTGCGCGGCCGCAGAACAAAGGCGGCGGCGGCGCGGGGCTGCCTTTGTCCCCCCGGGGGCGGCCGCGCCCCGCAGCCCCCCGCTCCAACGCCCCCCGGGCCGGCCGGGACCCCCCCAGCCCCGCCGGTGCCGGGAACGGGTCGGAACCGGTGCCCGCGGTGCCGGTAACGGGAAGCGATCGTTGCGCGGATAAAGGGCGGGGGCGGGCAGGGGAGGCCCGCACGGAGGCTCCCGGTGCCCCCCCGCACGGGCGCTCGGGGCCGCACGGCGGTGCCAGGCAGAGCGTCACTGCAAAGAGCCTTTATTCGGTACCGCGAGGCCGGGCAGCCCCCCCGGCACCCGGCCGGGTCGGGGAGGGACGCGTCCGTCTGTCCGTCCGTCTGTCCGTCCATCTGTCCGTCTGTCCGTCCCGGTGCCTACCAGGAGCACAGCACCACCTCCCGCAGCGTCCGCCGGAGCTCCTGGCTCCGGAAGGCGTAGATGAGGGGGTCGACCACCGAGTTGCAGATGATGAGGATGAGGAAGAGGTTGAAGTAGCCGAAGAAGCAGGTGCAGAAGGGGTTGGTGGGGCAGGTGACGATGAGGATGAGGTGGAAGAAGAAGGGCCCCCAGCAGATGAAGAAGACGCCCAGCAGGATGGTGAGCGTCACGGCTCCCTTCAGGCTGCTGGTGCGGTAGACGGCGGGGTGCTTCTGCTGGCTGGAGATGCTGCGCAGGTGGTGGCGGGCCAGGGCGAACATGTGGATGTAGAGCACCAGCATGAGGATCAGCATGAAGAGGAAGAAGCCGATGAGGCAGAGGAGGATGGCGTTGTTGCGGTAGTAGGTGATGAAGACGGTGCTGGAGACGGTGCTGGCCAGCCAGACGCTGGCCATGGTGACCACGGCCCGCTGCAGCGTCATGATGCTGTGGTAGCGCAGGGCGTAGAAGATGGTGATGTAGCGGTCCACGGCGATCACCCCTAGGAAGGAGAGGGAGGACACGATGGAGCTGCAGATGAGCATGTCGATGATGTTGTCCATGTGGCGGATGATGCTGGCGTGGATCACCAGCACGCCATGCTCCATCAGCAGCATGAAGAGCGTCTCCGCCAGGTTGCTGACGCTCACCAGCATGTCGGAGACGGCCAGGCAGCAGATGAAGTAGTACATGGGCGAGTGCAGGTTCCTGTTCTTTAGGATGGCGGCCACCACCAGCAGGTTCTCCACCAGGCTCACCAGCCCCAGCGTGAGGAAGAGTTCGTTGGGCACGTCGAGCCCCTGGCACCAGGCGCCTCCAGCCCCGGCCGTGGCGTTGCTCTGGTTGCCCTTGCTGGCGTTCCAGGGCTCACGGAGCAGGCGCAGGGGGGCCAATGTTGACATGGCCCCGACCTCAGCCCCGGGGGCTCCCTGGATGGCGGCCGTGGCCCCAGGGCCCCCCACAGCACCTGCAGGCCCCCTGAGTGCCCGGCTGGCCCCGCCAGCGCTCCCGCAGCACCCAGCTGCGAGGTCAAGGGGACATGGGCACCGCGGCGCCCCGAGTGCGGGGGAGATGGGGAAAGGCCCCCCCGCCCCACCAGCGTCCCACTGGTGTTGCAGCCGCGCTCCTCGCCAGCCCTGCCCGGCGTCCTCAGAGCTCAGCAAGGGCTCGGCAGCGGTTATGGGGAAGAAAGGGCCCTTTCTCTGCAACACTTTAAAGCCGTCTCCCTCAGCTCCTCCTCCCGAGGAGGGTGGGCACGCACATGACAGCCTGTACCCCAGTAGCTGGGGGAGCCGTCACCGAGGCTGGGGCTGCCGGACCCCAGCGCTGCCCCGGGGCACCACGTGCACTGGGGCCCCTGCGCACCCTGGGGGCCACACGCCACGGCCTCCGTGTGCCAGAGGGGTGCTCTGCGCCCTGCGGGTGCCAAGTGCGCTGGGGGACTGTGCACACTGGGGTTCCCACGCTCCCTGGGGTCCTGCATGCCCCCGGGACTTCCACGTACCTTGGGGACCCCAGTGGGACCATCCCCGTGGCAGGGACAGCACGAGGGGCAGATCTTGCCCGTGGCCATGGACGTGTCCCCCCCTGCTGCACCCAGGTGTTGCGTTGCGGAGCAGCGACGTGTCCCCCGGGGACTGTCAAAGGCACAATTGAGCACGGTCCCACTCCGTGACCGGCTCACGGCATCTCCCACAGCCCAGTGCCACAGCAAGCCCGGGCAGGCTGGGGGACGCGGGACCCATCTGACCATCATGTGCCTTTGGCTCGCTGTTGATGCCCGGAGCTGCTCAGCCACCAAAGAGCCATTCAGGGCTCCATGAATGGGGGCCGTTCACACCCGACGCTTCCGCTCCTTCCTGCGGGGTGCCGGGGCCTCCCCGGGGCTCGGAGCTGCCCCCGGTCCCGTGTGCGTGGAAGCGGCTGCGTGCAGGGCTGGTGCCCGTGCTCAGCAGGGAGCAGGAGACATTTTAACACCCTGGCTAATGAGAACCGCCCGCTGAGCCGAGGTCGGGACGCACACATCCCCAGCGCTGGGCTGGGAGCATGGAGCCTGCTCCCACGATCGAGGCCATGTCCTGGGGCCGCTCAGGATGGGTGCTCACAGCCCACGAGCCCCAGCCCTGATCCCTGGCACAGGTTGGGGTCGAGCACCCGCAGCAGCGCCCGGCTGCAGCAGCCTCGCTCGGCGCCAGCCGCCCGGGCAGACGGCGTCCCCAGCGCCTCCCACGCCTCGCGGGCAGGATCAGCCCAGGCCGCGGGGAAACGTGAGCAGGGAGGAATCTGGACCAGCAGACACCGGCTTCCCCGCCCGGTAAATTCCGGCTTTGTCAACACAAGGCTTCAGGAGCAGAGCCGCAAAACGCCGAGGCTGCAGCTCCGAGCAGCGCGGGGCGCAGCCGGGGCTCAGCTCCCGCAGGGCTGTGCCAGGGGCAGGATGGGGCTGGCGGGAAGCGGGGCCCGCAGGGAGCCCGGCTGCAGCACGGCCAGGGTGGGAGGAGGGGGATTTGTTCCGGGCAGCGCAGCCTGGCTCAGCACTGGAGCCACACACACACCGTTACACAGCAGAAATGAAAAAGCTTTGTGGGCAGCAGCGATGAGCCAAGGCTTTCATGGTGCCGCTGACCTCATTATTCCTGGCTCTGCGCTGCTTTGTGTCCCACTCGAAGGTGGGGAAACAAGGGAAGCTGGTGGGGAAAAGATTAAAAAAAAAAAAAAGAGGGGAGGGGGATTGTCTGCGCTCCCAGCAGCATCAATGGCTGCAGCACAAGAGGAGCCGCTCCCCACCCACCCCCAGCAGACACCGGGAGAGCTCCAGCTCCAGGGCAGATCACAAGGAATTGCGAGGAGCAAGGACACAGCCCAGTCCCTCCCAGCCCCAAGGGAGCTTGCAGGGCAGCCGCCCCCACCCCGCCGCAGGGAAGGCGCCTTCAGCCTGGAGGAAGCACAAAGGACAAGGAGACAGCAGGAAGAAAAGGCTACGACCATTAAGCACAGGGCAGGAGAGCAAGCCCAGGGAATTGGGCATTAACTGTGTTTGCAGGGGCCCAGAAGGGGCCTCAACTGCGGCAGATTATTAGCCCTGCCCTTTTAAGACAGCGCTCAGCCTCACGCCGCAGCAGCAGCCTCCCCTCGATGCAGCCCCTTCCCCACAATGACAGCCAGCACCTCTGGTTTCTATGAGTTTATTGGAGTGGGAGAGGGTTAGGGTACAATTAACACAGGGGCAGGGTGGGAGACGCGTGCTCTCAGCTCAATCCCAGTCCCCGTCGCCTTCAGGATTGTCGTCCCGGGGGGGCTCCTGGAACTGGATGTTCGCCAGCATGTCCCGCATGGCTGCCATGAGCCTGTTCACCCCCTGGTTGAGGTCCTGCCCTGCTCCGGCCTCGTCATCTCCATCGTGCCTGATGTCCCCCTGCAAGAGAGCAGAGCTGGAGGGCCCCCCCGGCAGGGAGCTCGCTGCCTGGCTGCAGCAGGCAGGGACAGACAATGCCGCCTGCCAAAAAGCATCAGGCTGCTCTGCAACCTGACGTTTACACACTGCATATGCCAAGAGCCACTCCCTTTGCAGAAACACTGTGCAATAGAAACTTGTGTACTGAAAGCAAAAGTGGGCTCTGATTTCGCCTGCAAGCAGCTGACTGCACGTACCTGCAAGTTAAAATTTGGCAACAGTGATCGGAAGAAGAGAGATAAAGTGCTTTCGTTGGATGGGTGATTCGTTCTGAAAGACACAAGTTGCACACCACGGTTAAGGGAGTAGCTTGTGCTTGACCTGCCAATGTTGACCCAGGCTGAGACAGGGCAGAGGAGCAGTAATCACGCTTCCACACAACACAGGGCCCCTCCCTGAGCCAGTCATGCTCTCCTAAAATGAGGAATTCATGAGCACTTCTTACCCCAGGCAGCCAGCAGCTGGCCAGCCCCTGGGCAAAACAACCATTAAAAGCACTGCCCTGCGTCCTCTGACCTGGGCTGGCGTGTGAGACATGTATGAGCCTCACCTGAGCAGTCTGCACACCACAGCCAGCTGCGATCGTATCTGTGTTTACCCCAACCCACCCCAGTTAAGAAACAGCCATTATTTTCCACCAGGCTTTGCCTCCGCAGCTGTGACTAGCTGCTGCCTGCGATGGCCACCAGCAGCCCCACGCAGAGGCAGCAGGACCAGCCCTGCCTGTTCGCTGAGCCTGCTGGCGAGCGCCCAAGCCAGGCTGCTCTCCCTCGGAGGGAGGAGATGCTAGTGCTGAGCACCCACGTGTACCCCGGCCGAGGCAGCCAGGTGTCGATGCTGGGAGGAGGCGAGCTGTGCCTGCACAGGGGCTGGGAATTACCTTTCTGGTCTGGTGTAGGAGATGATGGAGTCCAGAGGAGGAAGAGGGTCAAACCCCATCACAGGCTGCGACGTCACCTCCTGCAGAAAGGAAGAAGAGAGAGGTGAAGGCTGCACACCACCAGGGCCAAACGCCGAGGCACGGACATGGTTGGACCTGCTGGGCAGGCCTTGGTCTTGGGAAAAGCAGCAGCCACAGCCCAGCCTGCCCGCACACGCCGCTGCGTGCCTTATCCTGAGGACACCCAGGAAGCTGCACGCAGAGGGAGGATGCTTCGAGGTCATGCAGATGTTTCCTTTCTGGTGGCTGTGGTCTGAGACATGCCCGGCATCTGCATGCGTAGCAAGGACACAAGTGCCACCACTCCGCAGACAGCGGCACCATCTGCACCCCCACGGGGCCCTCACCAGAGGCAGAGCTGCCGTGGCCTCCTTCATCTCCGAGAGGATGACGTGCCGGTAGATATTCCTGGGGGCACTCTGGTATCTCATCTTCCTCCTAAAGCGGGAGCGGGAACAGCTGACGGCACAGAGCACACCTCAGCACAGCCAGCATTTCATCGCCATTTCTCTAGGTCAGTCAGCTTCATCTCTGCTGGGACCCACCAGGACAGACTGAGCTGGCCAAAGGTGAAGCCAAGCTCACTTGGCAGCTGCTAATCGCAGACGGAAGAGCAGAGCAGCTCAGGGACACTGCACAGCTCACTCACCAGCCTCTTACCTCCGCAGGGCAGCAGAGCAAACTAACATCAGTTTAGGACAAGAACTAACGCCTCCCTCTCCCACTTCTCAGAGATGGAAAATGTTTCTAAGCCCTTTGAACAAACCCCAGCATCACTGCTGCCCAGGACAGGGCTGCTCTCTCATCTTCTGCGCCCCCCAGCCTGACCTGTCCCTGTGTTTCAGCACCCAGATCCCTTATGAGAGCCCATCACCTCTGCCTGCTGCACTCACTTGAGCTCACACTCCTCCACCAGCGGGTCTCTGATGTCTACCAGGTGTAACACCTCGTGGACGTTTGTCTCCAGCCAAGCCATGACAGCTGGGTCCTTCCACAGGGAGTGAGTCCTTCCCACGTAGAGAGACGTCAGCTGGTTCAAGGCGGGAGGCTGGCTAAAGGACACAGTTGTTATTCAGGGCACTCTCCTCCTGCCTGCAGGTCCCCGTGCTGTCTGGAAAGAGCTCATCTCTGCACCGTGCTTCAGCGTGAGAACACGGAGAGCGATCACAGGCTCCCAGCTCTGCTGTTTACATCTACCTTCACCAGTTTTTCCGCCTCCTCCTATTTTTGGGATAAGCAGAGCCGTGAGATGAAAGTTGCTCTGCCTTTACCCGAGGGGGAGACCATTCACGTGTTCAGGAGGACCACGTGTCAGGGAAATCCAGACTGGCAGGAGACAGCCTGCCCTGAGAGCATCGCTCTGCCTACATGTACCGACAAGCTGCAGTATGAACTTCTGACCCATCCGCATTAAGGTGAGGCAGGCCTCTTAGAGTGATCTGGTAGCCTTTATGGGAATCCATTATCAATGCATCTAACAGCCTCTCAGCATGAGAAGCAAATATTGTCCTCTACAGCTTTTTAACTCCATTAACGGCCTGAGCAAGCAAAATCCCGAATACCAGGAAAATCGATTCCTTTCTCTTGCTGAGAACATCTCCAGGTCTTACCTTATCTGAGCATTCAGCCCAAAAAAGGAATGGGAGGCGACCCTGGCATCAGGCTGCACACTGCAGTGATCCAACAGCGGCATAAGAACTGCAGGAAAAGTCACACAGCTCGCTCTCAGACTGTTGATAAGCGCCTGGGAGCGGGCAGTCACCACCGCCAGGGCTGCAGGGAGACAGCCCCACCCCTGGGGCCAAGCACCCCTGCAGGCTGGGGCGCTGAACAAGAACCGACGCAAGGAGGATGCAAGGATGCTGTCAGCTTCACAGCTGGAGGTTATGCAGTGTTTTGATCTCAGGATGGATGATGGAAACAGATCCACAGTAAATAAAAAAGAACAATTTTTCCCCCTCAGTAATATAAGGTGCAATTTCATGCACTTAATGCTGTTGGCCTTTGAACTTGAACAAAGGTTTTATTTCAGTCACCGTGACAAGCAGCAAAAAATAGGGTTTCAACCAACACAAACTAAACCTCTGTTCGAAAGCTGGTTATTCCTGGCTTTAAAAGACACACCCTCCTTGGCATTCTGTGTCCCCTCTGGGCCTGGAGGGGCTGTGTAAGGGGCTGTGTATCTCCTTTCAGGAACACGAGCACCAAATGGATAAAAGCAAGAGTGATGGGCACCCATGGAAAGGACATCTAAAGCAGAGCAGTGCCTCGGAGAGAAAGCTAAGAGAGACTAGTTGTCTGTTCTGGGCAACCCCAGGGTAAAACATGCTCCCGCTCCAAGAACTCCGTTCTCACCCTCCCCCAGCCTGTATGCCCGTGACTCCCTTCAGTGAGGGGCCATCAGCTGCTCCTAGAAGAGGACGAGCAGCACAGAGCACAGTTGCTGATCTCCTCCCAACACGTGGAGCACTCATGGCTGTCTGTACCCACCCTGGCTCTGTCGCTCTGCCCCTGCCATGGTGCAGGGCAGGCTGAGCCCTGGCAGTGGGTTCTGCCTGGGCTCCAGCAGCCAACCTGCTGCGGGCCGGCCGAGCCGTGTCACCCCTCTGAGTCAGGGCTCCTGTCCCACATGGACAGAGGCCAAGGCCATTCACAGCCCGTAGGCAAACTGCTGCTTCTGCATTTGACTACTTGGAATCCAGCGTTTGCTCTCACAGATGAGGAGAGCGACAAAGCCTGCGGGGACGGACTTACCGGTGGGGACAGACTTACCGCTTGGGAACATGATCAGCGCAAGCTGGATGAGCCGGGCAGCTCTCTCCCGGGTTTGGCTTGACTCCATCTCCGAGTGCTCCTCCTGCTGGCTCAGGAAGAAATAGGCCAACGGCACTGAGAAGGCAAAATTGGGGAGCTGGGACAAATTCCGGTGACTCTGCAGGATCAGAGAGAGAGATTTATCGAGAAGTGATGCTATGCAGTGATCTCAGCGTGGCTGGGCTGCACACAGGGAGGGGTTTATTGCTTGGTAGGTTCTGTTACTTTCCAGCTGCTGGCTTGGTGCCCCTACAACTGAGTAAGCAACTTTGAGTTTGTAGAATTGCTTGTAGGGTACCAGGATTACAACAGGACCTAACATGAACACCTCAGCCTCCAGGGTTGTTCTGACAATCTCCAGGATGCCAGCCTGACCAGTGAGACAGACCCAAAGGGCTGAGCCAGTTACAGAAGCCCCACGCTCTGTGGCACAGCTGCCTCCCTCCAGCCCAGCTGGGTGGGGAGAGCCCCAGGAGCAAGGTGTCCCTGAGCTCTGCCTCATCCCTCACCTGGTGTGGTGTGCTGGCAACTCACCTCCCACTCCTCGAACATGCGTGTCAGGAAGGTGTACTCTCTAGCTCGGAGGGACAGAAAATCAATCATCAGCAGCACGCACAGCGGGTCGTTCTCTGGATCAAGGCTTCAGAGGGAAGCGAGCACAACAAGAGGAACCAAAATAAGCGTCACAAAAGCTGAAGTGCCTGCCCCAATTTCTCAGTCAAACAAGGCTTTCCCACTAGCACTCCGAGTCATGATGTGACTCAGCAAGCAGAAATAATGGGGCCACAAATAGCCCCACTCAGCTGGGAGGGGGTGCAACACCTCACCCGTTCCACTCCCTGCAGAGGGGTGACAGGCCTGCCACGAGGCCACACGGGAGGAAGATCAATGGCCACACAAACCCAGCAGGCTGAAGCCACTGTTGTGCATCTGCTCCACAGAGACTCCAGGCTCTGCTGTAATTATCAGCCAGGCCCACAGCTAGGTAGCCAAATGCAAAGGACAATCAGGTTCCAGCTGATTAAGCCTCCTCCTAAACAATCACCTCTCTCTTCAAAGCAGGATACAGATAAGAGCACATGCCCCAACTAACCTGTGGGACTGCATCCTTAAGGAGTGCAACAAGCCCTTACTGAGGCTGGGAACAGTATCATACCTCCTCCAATTTTTTCTGTCCAGCCTGGGCATATGAGGGTTACACGCGTTGCTCAAAGCATATTCCCTGTGGGCACCACGACTCCCAGATGTAGGAGAGGGGATGCAGCCCTCCATGGGGCACCTACCTCAGAATCAGCTTGCAGAACTCCAGAGCTGTCCGGGGACAACCCCTCTTCTCCAGGAACATCAGGTGTTTGAAGAGAGCCAGGAAGAAAGCCCTGTGTGGAGAGCAGAAATGGGTTTTAGAAGCCAGACCGGGAGAGCAGCACACTTCATTCAAGAGTGGGGACTCCAAATCAGCCTAAATCTTCATTGTGTCTTGTTTTTTATTTATTTATTATTTTTTTTAACCCTTGCTACCTTTGTGCAAGCAAAGGGACAGCAAACCCACAGCCCATTCCACCTCCACTCCCCTTTGTGCACACACAACCCAGGGCTAACAACTCAGGACAACAACAATAAGGAAATCCCTGAGGTCTGCATCCTGCAGGCTTAGCACAGCTGTGCCTCTGCCACTGTCCCAGCACTGCACTGAGGACGGTGACGCAGCACGTGTGACACGTGTGGGGTGGGACTAGCATCCAAATTGGGTGAGATACAGATCGCAGCGCTCAGGTCACGGACAGCACAAAGTCTGTCAGCGAGTGGGCGCTGGAAACCTGAGCAATCTCCAGGTAGAGCAATTTGGGAGAGATTACTTAGGTCAGCTGACTGGAAAATTCCCAGAATAAAGTCACCTTTCCCTGCAGCTGCAGAGCTGGCAATATTACATAAGCAGCCAGGCCTCGAAGAGAGCAAGTGCTGGGAGCAGCAGCCGAGCAGCCGGCACACCAGTGACCAAGCACAGACTTAAACACACCATCAAGATTTTTATGACAAAAATAAGTGCTGCTTTGGGCTAATGGATGCTAATTGCACAAGAGGGATGTGACAGGGAGAAACAGGTAATGCTCCAATAACAAATCCCTTGGGAAAGAAGATACTTTGCAAAAAAAACTCAGTCTATTTCAGTACAGATGACCTGGCAGAACAGGAGCTGCTGGTACCCCAGTGCCCCCTCACAAGCACTGCCTGCTCTCACCTCGTTAAGGGCCATTGCCATTAATTGCGGAGCAGCAAAGCTTCCCTGAAAGAAAGGGACGTTCCAGGTCCCCAGCCACCACCACCCTGCAGGACTGGCTGGTGCAGCAGAGGTGGTGAATCTGGGTCTCCGTGCCCAAAGTAGGCCAGGGGATGCTGCAGGCACCCTCGGGCTGGTGTGTGGGAGGCAGGCGGCCACCTACCTGTTCTCCGGCCGCCGGTAGTCCAGCCTGCAGCTCCCGCTGGTGAGGCTGAAGACAGGGGTGGAAGGCGCACTCCAGGCTGTACAGCACCCGCTCTGCAGACAGCACAGACACCATCAGGGCACACCATCATCTCCACACAGGGGGCTTCCCCAGTGTTCACAAAATAGGGCCAGCTGGCCTGGAGAGCCACAAGCTCCCCTGTGGATGCGGTGGGCTTCCTGGAGCATCCCCGTGCACTGCAGTACGGGGTAGCTGCTGAATCAGGCCCTCCTCCTGCAAGGGACTTCCTACAGGTGACACCCGTCGTGCCCAGACAATCCTTTCATTCTTTATAAAGGTGAAAGCTAATGTGCTTTGCCACAGACAAGCACGTCCAGCTCTGCTCCAAAGCCTCCAGCAAAAGCTGCAAGCCTGAAGGGTAACACGAGGCCGAGCGCCCGCGGCCACAAAGTCACAAACACGGAGCCAAACAAACCCTTCTGGTTTGCTGCTCCTTTGCTGAAATAAAAACCAAACCAAACCAGAAGCCTTTGATTGCTAATTCACAGCAACTGCTCAGCTGCGACTTTCAGCAGGGACTTGCTCAGCACTGGGTATGGGTGCACATCTGCAGACTGGTGCCACTCTTCCTTCCTCTCCCTCCCAGCACCTGGGCAAAGCCTTGCCCTGCAGCGCGAGGCCACGCTGCTCCGCAGCCCCTGCTGGGCGTTCAGGCTGATGTTTTCCATCTAAACCCTTCACAAGCTCTCACCAACTCTGCTCAGCACCTACCTATCAGGTCACGGGCCATCTCCTGATCCTCCTGCATCCGGCAGACATCGCTGAGCTGCAGAAGGGAGTCCACGTGGTACGGGTTCATCTGAAGCAGCAGCTACAGAAGAGCATGAACTTGATTACACGATGGCACGAATCACTGCTTTCTTGTGCACTTTGCCTACGAGGCAAGCTCTGTAAGCGTGGCAGGAAGGCAAATGTCCTGACACAGCACATAAGAGAAAGGGGCTGTTCTTGCCCCGGGTCTGAATGTGAAGCAATCCTGTCCCACACCATCACAAACAATGCTAAGACTGTAATGCAAGGCTGAGATGCACCTCATGTGAAAGGCCAAAACCAGGGATTAAAGGAACATAAGGACATTCATACACTTAAAAGGTCCATCTTGCCATACCTTCAAAAGCAGATGTCTGGGAAGGGCAGCAAGAGTTGACTCCCGGCATACTCTAAACTTCCATCCTACAGCAGTTCAGGGACTCTCATTGTCAAAGATGCCACCTTATATTAATAGTCCTTAATTAACTGGGAATTTGTTCTCTCAGTGACATTTTTGTTTCCTTCTCTAGCCCTTTTTAAAAAGAGTCTGAACATTTGATCAGGCTTTTGATTCCTCTAGGCACTGCGAGGGTAATTTCACACACCTACTACAATCCCAGGACCCAGCTCCTGAATTGGAATGGACAGAAAAAAAAAAAAAAAAGATTTCCAGGCTTCTGAATACAAGTATAAGTTGAACCATACCTCGAAGAACTCTGCATCAGTAATTATAAACGGACTACTTTTTCTAAGTAAATCTCAGTTTCAACATGAAAACACTGAAGCTGCCTCAAATCTCTTCAAGTTTCTCCCAGAATTAAAAAAATGGTACAGCTTCAAAGGCTGCAGAAGTGGTACATCTGCAGGGTGGTGGCCAGCATTCCCACCCTAGGCTGTCCCAGCCCAGTGCCTTCGCCTTGGTGCCTTTTGCCTGACATTTTTCCCTCTCCTTGGCTTCTTTAAGATTCTTTCTAGTCCTTCATTTTGGAAGATATAGAGCATGTGGGGTCATAGTGAGAGGGAAAAATACTCTTAATTCACTAAAACTTGACCAGCAACTACTTTGCATCTTTTACTGTGAGTCCCTCAGCCTAGTTAGCAAGCAGAACTGATGAGCTGCAGAGAGCAGTGGCTAGGAGCAGAGGGTGGGAAAGCAGAAGGAACTAAACGCTGGCCTCTTTAAGGGCCTTTGTCTTCAAGAGACAGTGGCCTCTCAGAAACTTCGCCAGGGCATGTATCCGCCCTCACGTGGCCAGTTTTCAGAGCAAAAATACCTCGGTTATGGTCCAGTAGGGTGCAGAGAAATTTTTCTGTTGCTTATCATTACGAACTCCAAGCGTTACCATAGACTTTAATGAGCTTGAACATGCATGAAGAGCTTCAGCACAAAGACTTGTTTTTACTGCAATACCAGGAAAACACGCTTTTTTCACCCATGCAAGGGTTTATAAATAGAACAACTGTTGGTTTAGAGTCCCGTTTAAAAATGGGCTTATACAATATTTTCCCTTTCCCAGCTGAAGAGAGGAGACAAGGGAGCTTTATTCCTACCCCTTCAGCCAACGGCCAGCTCCTGCAGGCTCCTCTGCTAGCCACCTGGCATGCTCCAAGCAGCACAACCCAGGCTGGCCACCAGGGACTGGGCCTCCTTCTCACCAAGCTGGTCACTGTCTCATTTATGAGGCAAAAGCAGAGCTCAGCAAGCAATGCTGCTTCACCCCGCTCAGACAGCACTGGCAGAAGATAAGTACTGGAGCACATTGCCCTGCTCCCTGGCCAGAAAAGGGGGTTGCAGGAAAAAACAGCACAAACAACCCAATTTCACAACATACCACAATGTTGTTGGGGTCCATGGACTCCACGGCATCCAGGAACTTGAACTGCACTTGCTGGTACTCACGGTGGTGCTCAAACGTGAAGTACTGCACCCCCCTCCTGGTCTCTACCAGCTGCATGGCAATACCTGGAGAGCACGTGGGACACCAGGGTACTGCTGCTGCTCTCAGTCAGCCAACAGCAGCGCAGTGTTTTGGGAAGCAGCACTGAAAGCCTCACCTGTTTTGCTGTAACGTGGCCAGGTGTTTTTGGGAACCGTCAGCCACGTGCTGCGGACATACTGGCGCTGCCTTTGCCTTGGCCTGAGGAAGAAAAACACAGCAGGTCACAGCTTCCCTGCACTAGCAGAATAAGGAGGGCTAAAAACAGCCAGAAGAAGGATGATTCAGGGAAAAAAGATCCAACTTCTTCCCCAGCTGCAGCCCTGCCACAGAGCTTTTGCCCAGAGCTTTAATCTGCTTGCCTTCGAGACACAACATCCCTTCACTCTGGCTCTTCCTCACTTTAACCATTCCTCTTTGGGCCAGCCAGTGCCTCCAGCGTTTCCACTTCAATAGCTTCTTTCCCTGTTTTCATTCCTGCCAAGTTCTCAGCTGCCTGTTTGCTTCAAACACCTTCCCAGGCCCAATTAAGAGAGCCTCATATCCCTCTGACTCATCTCTCTCTTCCCAGCAGGGCCTTTAAGCACTGACTCAGTTTATGCTGTACTCCTAAGTGCAACCAATGTGTTGGTTCAGGGCGAGAGGAATTCGGAAGTCACAGCTACTCTAACAAAGCTCCTGAGTAAGAAGATTATTTCTTTTCCTCAAGCACTAAACACCACCTTTTGTTTTAACCTCTCCTTGAAGGAGTGTAATTCTTCCAGACTCTCTCAGAGGTTTCCCCTTCCACCGTCACTGCCCTGAGCTTATACCCTTCTATGTGCACATTTTCCAACTGGCTCCTGAAAGGAAGAATTTTCTGGATAGCTGATCACAGTGCAGTGGGTAAGTGCACAGAGATTTCCACCTAAGCAGCAGCTGGCTCCCTGAGCCCCTGTAAGCAAATACGTGAGACTACCTGGAAAATATTCAGGGTCCAGTCTGTAAGACAGAGACTTCGGAATAGTAACAAACATACATGTTGGAGAAAAAAAAAAAATCTAAGAGTCAATAGCCTAAAAATTTGAGCAAAAGGACTTTTAGAAGGACATTTGGCAGTAAAGGGGGGGAACAACAAAAGGAAAAGGAAGTACTAGGTATAGTCTGAAGAAATAAGATGCCCTGATCACATCGGGGTGCCCTGGGTTCCCAGCACAGGCATAGCACTGGGGGCTCAGTAGGCAGGGCCCTGGGAAGGACAGACACACCAGCTCAGACTTTGAAAGCATTTACTATTACATTTTGGACTAACCTCTGATCACCAAGAACAGCACGAGCCCCAAAGTATCTCTTCAACTCATTCTCTGGATTCAAGTTTCTGAGAAGGTTGAAACAAGACAAAAATTTTAAAAAAAGGTTAAACAAAGTCTTGCACTCCTGCCCTTTCCAGCAGTGCCAAGCGCTCTGTACCATGAACTGTCCCTGCTCAAACCCCAGAACTTTCACACACACACACACACCAGGGCAAGACTGGTCACTGGCCAGAGCAGGAGGCATCCAAATGCCTCTTCAGTCAGATGCACGCTTCCTTTGTGCTCAGCTCCAAGGACCATGAGCTGGGGAATACTGCTGCTGCCCTCTCCAGGGCAGCCTGGGACCTCGCCTGGATACTCCCAGGCACTGCCTCAGCGCACTCAGCATATTTGTGCCTGGAAAACATGAGCTGCCCTCTGCTGAATCTAGCAGTGGCAGCCTGCAGTTCAGGGCAAGCACCCTAACCACTGCAGGGAGGCTGGCAAGGCTTAAAATACATTCTTTTAATACAAACATCTTATATCAAAGCACGACAACACCTACAGTTTTCTTGATCTAACGTTTGGCCCAGAGAAGGGAGGCGTATTTAGGAGGGGTTTCTCTCTGCCATCCAGTGAGCAGGAATTGAAGAGAGGGAGTGGGAAGGCTGAGACCCAGCACTGCCAACCCTCATCCACTTGGAGGTTATCCAGCTCTCAAAGGTGTCTGAATAACGCTCGCCTGACCAGAGAAGTCACTGAAGCCTGAACACATCTGTAGGCAAACAAACATTTCTCCCTTTACTGAAATGTCCCTGAACAAGCTAAACTAGTGAAGAGTGCCCACTCTGTTTGATGCAGTGTTTACAGGTTTCAAAACCCGAGTGGTAAATTGTTCCACCCTACAGGTTAAAATGCTTTTTCTCCTACAGAAACACAAAGAGCTGCCAGTATCTGCACCAGCCCAGGGCTCTGAATCACACTGGACACAGCAGCTGGCCCATCTGTGACAAGTTGCACAGCGTGACACAGGCTACAGATGTCTAGCGTGAGGCCAACTCATCCCCCAGCTCTCAGACACGCTCAGCACTTAGTCCACTTTGTTGATGGTCACATGGGGGAAAGGTTAGATGAGTCTAATTAGCTTTCCTGGTGAAATTAGCTGCTGGTACTGTTTAGCCCTCCTCGGAGCACAGCACTTGCTGTGCTGGAGCTGGCTGCTTGCAGCACCCAACCTGAACGCAGCCAGTCGAGTGGCCACGCTAGGCTGGTTCAAAGCTTAAAGTGCTGTGGCTCTCAGCAGCTCTGCGGAGATTTTTTGACAGTCACCAAACGTTTTAGTCTGGAAGGCACCTCTGGAGGTCGGCCTGGTCCAGACGTCCACTCAAACCGGGTGGGACAGTAGAGAATACCAGTTACTACAAACTGAATGCAGCTTTAAGAGCTACGGTCAGAAATTGAGCTGTGTACAACCATCACCATAGCCCCTGTCAAGTAAGATCCTGGAGTCACGGCCAGATGACACAGGCTTCCTTCTCCCTTCCTCAGGGGACGAAGACCTCTGTCCCACCCAAAATCTGAAAGGAAAACAAGCACTACCTGTGCTCTACGTAGAGCAGAGGCCTGCTGTCAACAATTACTCCACTCTGGGTCTCTTGCAGTATCCCATTGGTATCCTCAATCTTCTCCAGTAAGCTGTCGATGTCTTCCAGGTCATTGTCTTCCTTAAGACAGGCACACGCAGAGATAAGGCAGTAATTACAGGACACGTCCCGGAGGCACAGGGGTCACCCAGCTGCCTCCAGGCCCTCTGGCTCACCCCAAACTCCACGCTGTGACTGGTGCAGCCCCACTATCCACCCCGCTGCTACCCCACCTGGGGAGCACACGTACTCTCATATCTGGCACAAGCATATCTGGCAGGCTTCCTGCTGGCCTTGTGCTCTGAGCCCAAACTATCCACCCACAGTGGTCCCTTCCAGCACAGAGCTCACAATTTACGTGCCTGCTCTCTGGTTTGCCCCCTGCTACAAAGCATTTGCTGTGCTTTATCTGGTTTATTTATTGCACCCTAACTTCCTAAAATATCATGAAAAGCCGGGGTGCTGATTTTAATGGTAAAGACTTAAATAGTCAGCCTTTGCTGCCTGCTTTCCGTGAAAACGCTGATTTACTGCTGTGATCCTTGTGATACGATAGCAAACACGTGCACGCTTGTAACCCAGCTCTGATGTACCACACAGTCACTTCCCAGTCTTTTAACCACCAGAATATACACAAGTGTTGGATGTGTGCTGCTGGATAACACTTTTACCCCAATTGCCCTCAATTTTTCCCACAAATAGCAAGTGAGGCATTTCTAAGTGGCCATTTCATGCCTCCTCCCGATGCATGTGGGCGGAAGGCAGAATCCCATTCACAACACCCAAATTACACCCCAAGGTTGCCTTTTTTTAGCTAAATATAGCTACGCTGTGTGGAGAGGACACATGAAAAGTTTATAATGCTCTGCGTTTTAGCAATCAAACAAAGATAGCTTTATCGCTAGCTGGTAAATCAAACTGCCTGTTTGATCTAGGAATTAAGTCTCCCTAAAGCTTAGGGCTGGCAGATGTCACCCTCTTGCTCGTTATCCTCGGACTGGGGAGGAAGCAGGCTCTCTGATGGGGTTCTCTGCCTTAGTGACTCACCCCCGCGTCCCCAGCTGAACTCCTGGGAGGCAGCAGCCAGCCTGCACCTCCCTGGGAGGCACTGCTCGTGACAGCTTGACCAGCACCGCAGCACGCTGTGGCTTGCTGTGTTTAGCCAAGGATCTCCCTCGAGTTAAGACTTTAAAAGCTTTAGCCAAAAATAAATAAAAAACAGTTCCTCACTTGAACTTCATTTCTGTTAAACGTGTATTAGTCATTAGTCTTCCCAGCCTCTCGGGCAGTGACAGTACCCAAGTGTAACAGATGGATATAGATAAAGATTCTCCAAGCTTTATCCACAACACACAGATGCTGGATAAAGTTCTCCCTCCTCTTGAAGCACGTTTACTTAGGAGTCAACAACCCAGTCAGAGAGAATCACTGTCCCCTCATTCCCCTCATCCCTGAGAAGACAGGAGCACCTCCCTCTGGAAGGGCACTTGGCCACGTGTTTGCTGATAACGCTCTCAGCACTAGCGGGTGCTCCTGTCAGCATTTAGCTGTGCCATGGCGAGCTACAGACAAGGTGCACGGAGAAGCAGGCAAAGGTAACACGAGTCTCTGCCGGCAGCACGAGCTTCCTACAGCTCTGCAGAGCTCCCTAAGTAGGGCAAAGGAAATAATCATGAAAATGCAGAAATCCTCACAGGTCCTGCAGTACCTCCTCCTGTGCAGAGCCTCAAAGCAGAGATGAAAGGAGATGCTGCTGTGAGGATTTCAGCTCTAGATGTCTGCAGCAGAGCTGCGCTAGTTCCCGGCCGCTTCAAGGACCGCAGTCTAAAGCTGTTGTTGCCCTTTGATGACTTTCAATGAGGACAACACAAGATGGAGCATTTTTGCCTCAAGATCTTTCCTGCCACTACCAGTGTCACCGCTTTGTCAACCCCAAGGCAGAAATCAGCACAGCCACCGTCTCTCAGAGCACAAGCAGACATACCAGAGCCTCTCCTGCTGAAGCTTTCTTCGCTTTTCCTTTTCTTTTTTTTCTTTCGTGGCTTGTTACTTAACACGGGCTGCAAAGATAAACGAAACAGCCGTCAGAGCATACCCAGCGACTGCAGGGAGGAAGGCTCACGTGGGGAGAACAGCGTTTCCAACAGGGATCAGCACGTCGGAAGGTTCCCCAGATGAAACCAATATTCATCCTTCCAAGTCTGTCAGAAAGCAGAAACTGAAACACAAGCAGGAAATAAGAAGCAAGCATCAAAGGTTTACAAACTGCAAGGGTTAAATCTCATCTCACTTTCATTTTAACATCCGAGATTACGAACTCAGGCAAGACAACTTAGGTATGCCAGGTTTGAAAGAAATGTTTCAGCCCTTCTTTACTCCCTAGAAAAAAAAAAAAAAATGTATTCCTGTCTTTCTAGTAAGCAGGATGGTTTCACCAGCTGCTCTGATTACCACAGAAACCAACAGCTGCCGAAAGCACCACATGATGCAGGCTCCTCTCAATTAAGACACAGCTGCCTAAGCTGACGATGCTGCACAGCATTGCCCAACCCAGGATGCACACTGCTACCCTGTGCTGGCTCTTTCCCAAGGCACGCAGCAGCTAAGATGCACTTTCCCAGGACTGCCAGCATGTAACACCCCCAAGTATCAGCACCACAGAACTGCTCTACAACTCCCCAGCCCCTCTCAGAGGCAGGGCCACAGGCAGCCCCAGCCCAGCTCCACACATGCCAATGGCTCCCACGTTTCCACCCAGCTCTGGAGGCAGCACCAGGTGTGCTCCCGGTGTTTACGCAGCAAATTCACAGGGTCAGGGTCACGCTGGAGCCGCTGCTCACGTGGGGATGGGCTGAGCAAAGCTCACCCTGCACATCCAGCGTGCTCCCAAGCCACTGGACTGGCTGAGGGCAACAATCCTGCTGCAGCACGCACCAACAGCAGCCCTGCTGCTCCAGCCACGCTGCCGGGCACACAGGCACCACAAGCAGGGTCCCTAACGGATGAGACCAAGGGGTTAATTCCCTCTTACACTCCCTTTCCTCACCTCCAGTAAGATATGGACTAGGGTTGCAGTGCCAAATTGTTGCTTAAAACGTCCCTTTCCTTATGTAGTTCTGTATCTGTCATACAAGGAGGTGCTTAACAGCTGATACAGACTAGAGGAGAAACTCTTAACAGAGAGTGACAACAAAATACTACACGAAAGAAGGAAGCTCAATGTTTAGTTGTTTGGAGTGTTTACATCATTTGCCCCAAAACAAATGCTCACTGAGCATTCTCCCAACAGCCTAGCACCATCTACAGTACAAAATGATGGTAACTGTGCAACGAAGAGCACAGAGAAGCAGCCTCTGATCCTGAACCCTAGGGGTGCTTTCCTTCCCACATGCTCTACGTAACCTCAGCGCCCACAGGAACGTAGCACAAGGTCTTCCTCGGGAAAACATCGTAGGAGCCTGCCCTCTGAAACCATGAAACATCCCCCAGGCCCCACGCAGAGATGCCATGCACCCCGCAGCAACACGAGGACTGGGACAAGTGGGAGCTGCAGGCAGGCGCCTTGCTCTTGCCCTCTGAAGGAGCTCTAGGGTGCAGGCTCATCACCTTCCCTGATAAAAACCTGGGACAGGAGCTCAGCAAGTTACCAGCTAGCGAACACGGTGAATGCAGACAGATTCACTTCTAACCAGACGTTAACTGGTTCCTGCTTACGATTTGGTTTCACGCCCTGCGTGTGCATACCTGCCCCGACAGCTGTGTTCTCAGCCTCTGACAAAGCCCACGCACAAGAAGCACGTTTGTCTATCACCGACACAGCGGAGGCAGGAACATGCAACACCTCTCTGCTCCTCGTGGGGCAACAACTGTCACTACGAGGTACCTGCAGCTGCCTTACCGTTTGGTCCGGCCGCTCTGCCTCTTCCCCGTTCCTCTGCCCATCGCCTTCTCTCTCCTCTGGTACGGACTCTTCATCGTTCCTCTCTGCCACGCCATGCTCTTTGAGCCTGGTATCCGCTCGCTCCTCTTTGGATGGGAGGTCATCCTCCAGTTCTTCACTGGTGATCTGTGCAGAGAGAAGAAGGAGCTGCAGCAGCAGGCGGCACACGGCTGTGCTCTGCCCTCTCCCACACCCACAAGGTCAGGATGGCACAGAACAGGCATCTGTTCTACCCACACCTGCATAGCACAGGGGAGAGCACTGCAGGCACAGAGCAGGGCTCAGCTTCCCAGCTGCCTCTCCAGCACACAGACTGGGCACAGACACTCATTTAAAGCACGACACCCAGCTGGGGCTGCCCAGCACCTGCTGCCCAGCCAGAGGGGAGGACAGGGCCACAACCACGTGCCTGCTACACAGCACAACGGGCAGAACACACACAGCTCATCTGGCCTCTTGGAAGCGCCTCCAAAGCCAGCCTTGTGCATGCTCTCACAACCAAGCCTCAGGGAAGCGCTGGGGCTGGCCGAGGGGCTCTGTCACCCCAGGGAGCCGTCAGTGCCATCAGATCAGCAGCAACGGGACACCACAGGGCGGGCAGGGTGGGGGCAGCAACACCCCCACCAAAACCCTCATCACTGCCTGACTGCCCCAGCACAGCCCAGCCCTGCCCCGTGCCCCCAGACCCACCTCCCCACCACCCCCAGGTTCCACCCAGCCCCGAGCCCACCCCTGTGGCCCCCACCTCCCCCCTAGAGCCCCCCCACTCCCACCCCAGGCCTCTAAGCACCCCCTCACCCCCTCCCATTGCCCCCAGCTCCTTCCCCATAGCCCCTCTAGCCCCCCCAGCCCTCTGGGCCACCCCCGGCCTCTCCCCCCCCAAGCCCCGTCAGCGCCCCCCAGACCCCCCCCCAGGCCCCTCTAGGCCCCCCCAGGCCCCTCTAGGCCCCTCCAGGCCCCTGCAGGCCCCCCCTCAGCCCCTCACCAGCTCGAAGCGGTTGCTGACGCCTCTCCGCCCCCTCACGACCCCCTCCTGCCGCTGCTGCCCGTTCTCGGGGCCGTCAGCCGGGCCCAGCTCGCCCAGGCCCGGCTCCTGCTGGCCCCGCTGCTCGCCCCTCAGCCGCCTCAGGGCCCGGCGCGACATGGAGCCCCCGGCCCGGGCCGCACCGCGCCTGCGCCGCCCGCAGTGCGCATGCGCGCGGCTCCCCCCCCCTCCCCTCCCCGATCCCGCGCAGGCGCAGTGAGCGCTCCTGGGACTTGTTTCGCGCCCCCCCCCCCCCCATAGCGGGGCCCTAGCGTGAAATATGGCCCGGGGGGGGGGGGGGGCGGATGGGGACACGGGGGGGGGTATGGGGCTGGGATACACACATATGGGGGTGTATGGGGACAGGGGGGGTGTCTGGGGCTGGGGGTGTCTGGGGTGTGGAGGTGTCTGGGGATGGGGGTGTCTCTATATAGGTATAGGGGTGTCTGGGGGCATGGGGGTGTCTGGGTATAGGTATGGGGGTGTCTGGGGACAGGGGTGTCTGTGGATGGGGGGTGTCTGGGTGTAGGTATAGGGGTGTCTGGGGATGGGGGTGTCTGGGGACAGGGGGTGTCTGGGGACGTGGAGGTGTCTGGGGATGGGGGGTGTCTGGGGATGGGGGTGTCTCTATATAGGTATGGGGGTGTCTGGGGACAGGGGGATATCTGGGGACATGGGGGTGTCTGGGTATAGGTATAGGGGTGTCTGGGGATGGGGGTTTCTGGGGACATGGGGGGGTCTGGGGACAGGGGGCTGTCGGGACGGGGGTGTCTGGGGACATGAGGGTGTCTGGGTATAGGTATAGGGGTGTCTAGGGACAGGGGGGTGTCTAGGGACAGGGGGGTGTCTGGGGACATGGGGGTATATGGGGGCATGGGGGTATATGGGGGCATGGGGGTGTCTAGGGTTAAGGGGTGTCTGGGGACAGAAGTATCTGGGGACAGGGGGTGTCTGGGTATAGGTATGGGGGTGTCTGGGGACATGGAGGTGTCTGGGGAACAGGGGGGTGTCTGTGGATGGGGGTGTCTGAAGATGGGGGTGTCTGGGTATAGGTATAGGGGTGTCTGGGGATGAGGGTGTCTGGGGACAGAGGTATCTGGGGACGGGGGGTGTTTGGGTATAGGGATGGGGGTATCTGGGGATGGGGGTTTCTGGGCATGGGGGTGTCTGGGGACAGAGGTATCTGGGGACAGGGGGTGTCTGGGTATAGGGGTGTCTGGGGACATGGAGGTGTCTGGGGACATGGAGGTGTCTCGGGACAGGGGGCTGTCGGGATGGGGGTGTCTGGGGACATGGCGGTGTCTGGGAGCATGGGGGTGCCTGGGGACATGGAGGTGTCTAGGGATAAGGGGTGTCTGGGGACAGAGGTATCTGGGGACAGGGGGTGTCTGGGTATAGGGGTGCCTGGGGACATGGGGGTGTCTGGGGACGGGGCACTGTGCTGTGGGAAGGGGCTGTGGGATTTCCCCCTGGTGCCCCCAGGGTGTGCAGCCCATCCCAGGGGGTGCCGAGCATCACAGGGGGGGCGGCTGCCCCCAGCCCCCAGCTCCCAGTTGCCCCAGGACCCACAGGGCCATGGCGGTGTGGAGCAGGCCCGTGGGACATCCAGCCTTGGGGTCACAGGACACAGAGACCACCCCACATCCCCCCCAGCACCCTTTTCCCCAACCCCCCCAGCACAGGAGCCGCCGCTGTGGCCCCGAGGGGCAGCCCGGGATGGTTTATTTTCGGGGGCCGCTATGTACAGAGCGCTGCGGGGCCGTAAGGCATCCCAGCCCCGCCAGGCCTTGGCACTGCAGCGGGGCTGGGGGGGCTGAGGATGCCCCGGGGAGGGCGTCCCCGTCCCCAAAGGGCCGTGCCAGCGTCCCCTCAGCGGCGGGGACGGGTGGCTCCCCGGGGGACGTGGGCTGGGGGATACGGGGCCGGCCTGCCGCGGGCCCTACACCCCCGTGGTCCGTCAGGTATATAAATATAGAGGCTGTGTGTCCGTCCGTGTGTCTGTCCCTATATATATAGATATGTACATCCCGGCGGGGCCGGCGCCGGGCCCTCACTTGTACCAGGACTCGCAGCGGGCGGCTCGGCGCGGCGCGGCGTTGAGGACGGCCACGCTGCGGCGGCTGGAGCAGACGACGTCGGTGACGAAGCCGCTGCAGTCGCTGCAGACGTCGCGCAGGACCGAGCCCTGGGCGTAGATGTGGGGGAATTCCTCTTCCACGCGGCGCCAGCCCGGGCCCTGCAGCGAGCTGGGGGGGCGCAGAGCGGGTGGTCAGCCCCCAGAAAGAGGAGGAGGAGGCTGGGAGGAAGGCAGCGGAGGGCACGGGGCCCTTGTGGGGTTTGGGACTCACTGGAAGGTTTCCCTCCTGCGCAGCGGCAGGGCTTTGGCCAGCAGCGATCCCGGGAGGCTCTCGAAGCCCAGTGCGTAGACGGGGATGTGAGCCAGCTTCTTGGAAGGCATCTTCATCTGCCGGGGCGTGCAGGCATCAGGGACAGCACCCATGGGTGCCCCCTCTGCCCTAGGGCACGGCTGGGTGGGCTCAGCCATGCTCGGTGCCTCTGTCCTGGTGTCACCCCCACCAACAGGACGGGGACGGGGACAGGGGCTGGTGGCACTGAGCCAGGCAGGTCCCTTACCTTCAGGCTGCAGGAGGTGCAGACGGACCTGGGGACACGGAGAGAGGCTGCTGAGCAAGGCCAGCACCGCGGCACCCTCCCACCACCCTCCCAGCACTGTTATATGGCACGGCACGGCATGGCACGGCATGGCACGGCACGGCACGGTGCTCACCGCTTGCAGAAGAGGCAAGCTGAGGGCCAGGAGAAGAGGGGGAACTTGGTGCGGCAGCAGCAGCAGACCTGCGGGCACAGGCAGGGTGAGCACCAGGAGGGCAGCGTGCGGCCAACCCGGTCCCCTCCAGCCCCGGCTCCCACCTTGCCCTTCTTCAGGCTGTTGTAGAGCTCCTTGCTCTGCTGGAACTTCTCCATCTCGGCCTTGACCAGCACCCTGCGCACGTTGATCATCTCCTCCACCGTGAGGGCCAGGCTCTCCACGGGGTGGCTGAACTCCTGTGGGCGCAGAGGGGCTGTCACCCCGGCACGGGCACAGGGCACCCAGTGTGGCGTGCCCCACACAGTGTGCACCCCGTGTGGGGCTGTGCTCGCAGCCCCAGCCCCACTGCAGGCACCCACCAGCCACAGGTGCTTGGAGCTGCTGCTGGGGGCAGCGCTGGGGCCGTCCTCTGGCCTCTCCTCCACGGAGCCCAGGGCAGCACGGGGCGGCGCAGAGCCGTACGGCACCGGGTGGTAGCTGGCGGGGACCGAGCCTGCACGGGTGGGACACAGTGAGGACACGGGAGGGACACTAAGGACACGCTGCTGCACGAGACCCCTCCAGCAGGCGCCTGCTGGAGGGCACGGCAAAGCCACCCTTGGGGACATGGGGACAGGGGTGCCACAGGGCATGCGGCGTATGGGGTGGACTGGGGGGCTGGGGGCACTGACTGCAATGGGATGGAGATCCTGGTGCACGGCTGGGCTTCTGGGGTGGCCACGGGGTGCAGGTACCTGAGCGGGGTCGGGGCTCGGGCTCCAGTGGCCCCAGCACCTCGGGTGCAGCCTGGCTGCTGCTGAGCTCGCTCTGGAACTGGGCCAGGTCCTGCTCCGAGAAGGAGCGGTCCCGCTTCATGGGCAGCCCCAAACCGGGCTCTGTTCCTGGTGAGTCCTCCTCCTGCAAGGCCACAGGGACGGCGTCACACGGAGAACCCCGTGTCCCCGTCCTCTGCCCTCCTGGCATGCGCCCCACAGCGTCCCCACCGCATGCCCTCTCTTGCCTCGGAGATGTTCATCTCCTCCATCTCGGCCAGCGTGGGCGCCTTGAGCAGGACGCGGGGCCGCGGGCGCGGGGGCACGGTGCTGGCCTCCGGCGCGGAGAGGTCGATGCAGGAGCTGGAGGTGAGGTGGCTGGAGCAGGCGTGGGGGATGCAGGGCAGGGAGCTGTAGCCTGCAGACGGGGCCGGAGCTCAGTGCCTCTGTGCGGGGACCCGACGTGGCACTGGGGACCTGCCCCAGCTCCAGAGCATCGCCCGCAGCACAGGGGAGGCGCTGCCAGTACCTTTCTGGCCCCGGTACTGCGTCTCCACGGGCCGGAGCTTCCTCTCCTGCTTGATCTCCTCCAAAATCTTCTCGTGCAGTGTCCTCTGCTTCTGGGGCAGGGGCCGCAGCCGCCGCTCTGATGCCTGGGGGACGCAGAGGTGGGGTGCTGCAGCTTGGGGACGGGGTCCCTCAGGGCTCATGGCGAGCCCACAATGGGTGCTGCTGGCCACGGGGGCACTGCAGCACCACGGGGCTGCCACCCACCTGCTTGAGCGGGGGCCGGGAGCGGATGAAGTCCAGGATGAGCTCGTGGGCATCCTTCTTCACCCGGGGCGGGATGTCACCATCCACCTGGGAGAGGGCAGAGGGGCCGTGGGTGGTGTCAGCGCCCGGGCTAGCCCATGGGACAGCACCTGGCAGGCTGTGGGGACGTCCCCGCTGCGCTCACCATGACCTTGCGGAGCTTGTAGTTGCGCGCGCGGATGTCCTGCATGAGCATCTCGAAGGGGGTGAGCTGGTACTCGGTGGGCAGCGGGTTGAACTGCTTCTCCTGCACCTTCTTCAGCTTCACGCCGTGCCGCAGCTCCCGCATCAGCTGCACCCACAGCCGGGCCTGGCGGGAGTTGGGGGGGTCAGCACCAGCCCCGCCACGGCCCCGGCCCTCAATGCAGCTCCTGCCACACCGCCGTACCCAGTCTGTGTTGCGCAGGCTGCCCAGCTCTGCAGACGGCCTCTCCTTTGCCTCCTCATCCTCGTTCAGCTTCTGCAGCATCTGCCACGGCAGGGGGACACCGTCACCTTGCCACAGCACCCAGCACAAGGGGTGCCCGGCACGCAGCCCCCAGGTTGGCACAGCCCCGTGCACGGCAGCACCGGCACCTCCCCGGCTCTGTGCTCAAAGCACCGCGCTCACCCCAGCATTTTGGGGGGGGTTCCCTGCCGCCGCTCACCTCCTTGGCATCGCGGATCTTGGCCAGGAAAGCTTTGAGCTCCACGGTCTCGGCGAAGAGAGCCCGGCACACGGCCTGGTAGTGAGCCTGGGCTTCGGCGGGGTCAGCGAGGCGCGCGGCGCAGCACCGCATGGCCTGCCCGAAGGTGCGCACGGCCCGCGGCGGCCCCTCGCCGCCCTCCTCCTCCTCCTCCTGCCCCCCATAGCCCTCATCGGCCGTGCCGCAGCCGCTGTCCTCCGAGTCGCTGTTGGTCATCAGGTCGATGAGCTGCTCCAGCTGCGGGCTCAGCTCCCGCTCCTCGTTCTCGTCCAGCCCCCAGTCCAGCGCCCGGTAGATGGCGAAGCCCAAGGACTGCACCATCTGCAAGGAGATGGCAGTGTCTGTGCCACCACGATCCCTGGCACCTCCCGAGCCACGGAGGCCCTGTGCATGACACCCCATCTTCTGGGGCTGTCTCTGACCCCCCCGGTGCACCCAGGACCCCATTACTGCAGGGCGAGGGTGCCTGCAGGGGCCAGCGAGGAGATGTGGGGCCTGGCGAGCACCCCGGGCCCCCACGTACCTGTGCTTCAGCAGCGGGTGTCAGCAGCAGGGGTAGCTCTGGGGGAGAGGAAGGCTCAGTCACTGCGGGCTCGCCCCACATCACCTCATGCTCCCCACCACACCTGAGCTGAGATCCCCACTCCCATCCCAAGCTGACCCCATGGCTGGCGCAGCCTCAGGGTGCTGAGCCCCCTGCCCTGGTCCCCAGCACCAGCCGATGCCCTGCCTGCCAACAGCTGGAGCCGGGAGGGAGAGGTGGCATTTTGGGTGGCACATTGGGTAGCATCATCACCCCATTAGCACTGGGGCCAGGGGAGCAGCGTGCTCTGCACCCCCTGCACGGCCCCAGGGCTGCAGGCCCCAGCAGGGTGCAGAGGGACCGGCGGAGCACCCACAGAGTGCGCCCTGCGTGCGGTGCGCTGTGGTGCCGGGCTGTGCTCAGCTGACGGCGCTCACGGCGCTCCTTTCACTGCAGAGGCGGCATGGCTGGGGCGCTGTGCACACACATGGCACCGTGCACACACAGCACCACGCATACACAAGCCCCGTGCACACACAAGCTCCATGCACATGCACACACACGCACAGGTCCGTGCCATAACCTCGCAGGCAGCTCAGACCCCCCGGAGGAGCACGGTGGCCACAGGACACCCAGCAGCAGTGCCTTTTGCACCAACCCCGAGGGAAGGAAGTGCCCAGATGCCCCCGGCTTGGCTTTCCCCAGCAGCAGCTGCAGAGCAGAGCCACTTCCCGGGCCCAGGAGAGCCCAGGCCATCCCCCGTGTCCATTACCTCTCCATTTAGCTGATCAATGCAGCAGCCCAGGGGAGAGGTGGCTCAGGCCACGTGCCGGCCGTGGCCAGATGCCCAGCCCAGCACTCATAGGGCAGGGTGAGACCAGCTGGGACAGGAAAACATCCCACAGGACCCTGTGCCCCATCTGGACCACATCAAACACTGTGGGATTCTGTGGCCGTCCCCAAGCCCCGCTGGCGGCCCTGCAGGGGACAGCATCACATCCCGCATCGTGGCAGAGGAGCCGGCCGAGCCAGCCACGGGGAGGAAACAGAAAATCTTTTCCAGGATGTAAATCAGGGACGAAGCGCCTGCGGCTGTGGCGGGACAGCCACACCTGGAACGGCAGCGCCTGCTGCTGCCATGGCAAACGGGGCCACTTGGGTGGTGTTTGCGCAGCGCTCACGTGCTGCCTGCTCCCTCGGGCTGTCAGGGTTGGGGCCGGGCATCCCGTGGGATGGGGACCTGGAGCTGCTCAGGCAGCTGCTGCCAGCTCACCCGGCCCATTCCGGCCCCACAGCCGGGAGCAGCTGCCAAGCCACGTGCCGGTGCCCGTGCCCTACCTGCGGTGGTGCTGGGACTCACCCACAGCCCCTCGAGCACCCTGCAGCAGTGAAGGGCCCGGCTCCATCCCCCTTCATTCCCTGTTCCCCTGGGATTTTCCCTGCCCGGCTGCCGGCAGCAAGGACACGCAGCGACACCGCAGCATCCCTGCCCGCTGCCAGCAGCGGGGACGCACAGCGGTGCCGCAGCCTCAGCTGGCCGTGAGCAAGGGCACGGGGTGACAATGAAGTGTCCCTGTGGGGCTGCGAGGCTCCCAGGAGACCCCACAAGCTCCAAGCACCAAAATCCATCTTGGGGCACGCAGCCGCTGGTCCGGGGCTGGGTGCAGGGCTGTCCCCACGCTGTCCCCACGCGGGGCGAGGCGGGGGCTCAGCCCTGCCCCAGCTCTGTCATTAGGCACACGGTGCTCAGCCCCGCGCCGAGCCGCCTCGCAGTGCTGCTGGCACCCGGCGGTGCCTAATTACAGACCATAAACACAGCCGGCCCTGCCCAGCAGCGCCAACCGCCCGCAGGGAGGGCACGGCCATGAGTCCAAAGGTCAGGAACGGTGCTGCCCCAAAATGCCCCTTCCGGGTGCCCAGGATGGAGGGGAGTGGGGGCTGAGCGTGCATCCCATCCCGTGGGTGTGCTGCGTGTGCGCTGAGTGCCCGTGTGCGTGCAGGTTTGTCCCCATGCCTGTCCCTGCCGTGTGTCCTGCCTGTCCTGAAGGGCTCCATGTCCCGGGCCCTGCACCGTGGACACCCCGCACCCCGGTGCCCCTACCCGCTGTGCCACGCACACCCCGTGCCCAGCTCACGGGGCACCCAGCAGCCTCCTCCCGGGGCAAGGTGCTGCCGGTGCCGGTGCCGGTGTTGCACCAGGCCTGGATCCCCGAGCCACCGACCCTCTGCCGGTGCCGGCACCCACGGTGCCAATGCTGGAACCGACCCGGTGCCGGGACAGAGGCTTGGGGTGCGCACCCCCCCTTCACCCCCCACCTCACCAGGGCCTGTTGGTCCCGGTTTACCGGTTGCCAGCCCCCCACCCGTGGATGCCTTCCAACCCCCTGCCTCCCACGGAGCCCACCGGGTCCCGCAGCGGTGCCATCCCTCTCCCCACCCCCTCCCAGCCTCCCGCTGCCGGTTCCCTCTCCCCGCTCCCGTTGCCCCCCCCTGGTTCCAGCGGGGCTCTGTCCTCCCCCCATTCCCCGCAGCACCCCCTACCGGTCCCGGGGCTCCCTCCCTTCTTTCCCCTCTCACCGGGCGGCGGTGCCGGGAGCCCCACGGTCCCGTCGGCTCGGAGTAGGATGTCTGCGGTGCGGGGGGGCGCGGCGGGGGCGGCGGCGGCGGCGCGGCAGCCCTGGAAGCAGAGCGCCCACGCCTGCTCCTCGTTCAGCGGCTGCTCGTAGCACTTCAGCACCTCCTCCAGGGACAGCTCCCGCGGGGCCCCGCCACCGGCCCGCGCCATCGCCCCATCCCCGCGCCCCCGCCGCCGCCGCCGCCGCCGCCGCCGCCGCCGACCTCCGCCGCACGGGCGGGGCGGGAGGGGCGGAGGTGTTTGGGGGGGGAGCGGCTCGGCTCGGCCCCGCTCGGCTCGGAGCTGCGCCGCCCCCGTTGCCGGCTCCTCCCTCGTCGCCACCGCCCGGGGCGCGCGGTGCTGCGGGGGCTCGGTGCGGTGCGGTGCGGTTCGGTTCGGTGTGGCTCGGTTCAGCACGGCTCGGTTCAGCACGGCTCGGTACGGCCCCGCAAGCTGCCGGGGTGCAAGGATCGGCGGCGAGAGGCGGGGCTGGGCGCAGGGTGCGTGCAAGGTGCAAGGGCGCAGGGTGCGCGGCGCGGAGAGCGCAGGGGGCGCAGGGCGCAGGGCGCACGCAGGGTGCGCGGCATGCGGGGTGCGGGGGGGATGCGGGGCGCAGGGCGCACAAAACAGTGCAGAGGATGCAGCTGCATGCAGGGTGCAGGGTGCAGCTGGGTGCAGGGTGCATGGCACAGCTGCATACAGGGTGCAGGACACAGTGGGGTGTAGGGTGCAGGGTGCGTGAGTGCAGGTGGGGTGCATGGGGAAGGGTGCAGGGTGCAGGGCCCACAGCGGGGTGCGGGGTGTGGAGCAGAGCTGTGGGACAGCCCCACCACGGGGCTGTGTGGTATGGAATGATTCCTGCCACCCGGAAGGTCTGCTGGGGCCACCTCAGAGGTCAGGCACGGCCACGACTCAGGGCTCAGCCTCAGACCTGAGGCATGGAAGCCACGAGCTCCTCGGGGGCCATCCCACATCACAATGTGCAGCAAGCTGGGAAGGTGGCTGCAAGGACACAAGGAGCCCCTGGAAGCCCCTAGGAGCGCTCAGAGCCAGGAGGTCTCCTGGGGAAGTGTCTCCATGGGCTTTGTGCAGCCCTGCATCGCCTGCAGGAGCAGGGACCCCGCCAGCGTACGGGGCTGGGGCTGAAAACCAGGAACCCGAGCACCGGAGCAGGGAGGACCAGAGGCAGCATTTCTGGGGTGTCTGCGGGCTGCATCCTCTGGAAGAGGCCTGGGGGCAAAGGCAGGCAGCGCGCCAGCAGCCGGCAGCGTGGTGCACTGCTGTTTTGGCATGGCCAGGAGCAGCAGAAGCCAGCTGAAGGCACTGAGGTGGGGCCTTGGGGTGTCTCGCTGAGGTAATGTCCCGTGGGAGCATGGCAGGGGGGGCACCCACAGAGTCTGGCATGGCTTGGTGCCCGCAGCAGAGCAGGGAGCAGATGGCCTGCCGTGAAAGGTCAGGCAGCAAAATGAAGCTTGTCATTACGAGCTTCCCGTTTGCATGATGCACAAAACCCACCTCAGCTCCATTAAGCCATGAGCAGGAACTGGGGCCACTGGGGCCACCCTGTCTGTCCCGCGTGGCCAAAGGGCTGCCCTGGGGCACCGTGGATGGGACTGTGCCTGCAGCGCCATGGCTTGGCTGAGCGAGAGGCTTCCAGCTAGGGGAGAATTCCCTCCTGGACACCCCGAGCAGCATCAGCTCCTTCTTTTGGGTAAGGAAATGGCAGAGCTGAGCTGCTGAGGAAGGCACGGCTGGGAAGTGCAGCCCTGCCTGCTGCAGTGCCCTGGGGCCAGGGAGACAGGAGGATGGATGCAGATCATCTGTGCACCCCTGGGATCGCCCAAATGCACCATCAGCTGGGCCAGGGTTTGGGGAGCACTGGTGGTGGCTGCCTCCCCCCTGGGGCCACCACGCTCGCTGCCATCCTGACTGCCCCTGCAGCTCGGCCACAAAGCCCCAGGAGCCACGGGGACGGGGAGCCGAGGCAGGACGGAGCTCCAGCTGCATCAGGAAGGAAAATGCAGCAGATCTTGGCTGTGATGCCCGTGTCTGCGTCTCGCTTTCTGCTCAAACGAGTGCGATTTGAATGTGACATTCACCCTGTCATCAGCCGGCTTTGTAGCCTGCTTTGGCAGCGATGGCAGAGGGAGGAAACCCAAGCGCGCTGCCCGGCGCGGGGCCGAGCCGGCTGCTGGCTCTCCTGCTCCCCAGGACCTGCTGCTGCCTCCGGACACAGCCAGGGCGGCACCGCCGGGGCCGGGTGCGGGCCTTTGGAGGCAGCGATAACCCAGCCGGCAGGATTTGTGGGAGTGCATTTGAATTATAAAGCTCACAGCCCTTCGCTTTGGGTGAAACTGTAATTAATGTGAAATCAAGATATAATTAAAAGCTACCGCCTTGGAAAAAAATCAAACAAAAGCCAAGCGTGTATGTGCATAGGGGACATTTAATTAAAAAATGAAAGAAATAGGGGAAAAAAATGAACAGGTTGGGAAAAGGTTGCAAATCACTGCAGGAGCGTCAGATTTCCCCACCTCCCACCCCTTTGTGCGTCGAAGCATGACGAGTGGCAGCGTGGCGGGGCTGGGACATGGGGCAGAGCTGTGCACAGTGTTTGTTTTCAGGTGATACACTGCCTGGGTTTCCTTTGTCGTATGCAAAACATTTCCTTGAACATCCCCAGGATGTCGAGATGACTGCGCACAGCTCCTGTGGGGCTGGATGCACGTATTCAGCTTCTTTGGCTGCTGTGCTGGGCTCAGGATCGTGAAGGGAGGGAGTGCTTGGCGAGATGCTGTGCTCTTGGGGTGTGCTGGCCTCAGATGTGGCCGGACTTGGACGTGCCCGAGCTCAAGGGGAGCTCCTTGGTGTCACCACCTCAAGTACAAACCTTGGCTGCACCTCCTCTCACCTTTTGGGAGGTTTCTCATCACTTTGGCCCTTTGATGTGGTGTTTTTGCCCAATTTCCTGATGGTGCAGGATATAGTGGCCTGCTGACTGCTCTCAGGCATTCTGGCACCCCAAAATTCCCATGCCAGCCCCTTATTGAACCCCAGTCCTCACTCCTGATCAAAGCAGCCAGGGGCTGTGAGCACTGGAGGCCAGCCCTGTCCCCAGGCACCACCGAGGAGCGGATGGATGAGCCTGTTCCTCTGGGCAAGCATGGCTCATAGGCATGATGCTGAACAGATCGGGATGGATTCCACAAAACTCCCACCCGTAGGGGCAGTTTTATCACAGAGGTCTCCAGTACGACCAAGTTTCACCTTCCCCTTGCCTGGACACAACCAAGGGGTGGACGTGAGGCCTCCACGCTGCTCGCCCTGCAGCTGAGGAAGATGTCCCCACAGAGGCAGGTCCCTGGGTGGGATCCATGCCCTCGGAGCAGCTTGACATGGCCCAGCAGCACAGCAGTGCCCTGGGGCAGGAGGAGAGCCTGGCCGGGGACACTGCCTCGGCAGGGATGTTGAATCACGGCGTGCTTGTTAAGGCTCCATTTCCTTTCTAGACTCTTCTTCATTAATATTTCAATTAAAACCAATCCTCCGAGCAGACCGCGTTAACTCAGGATACCTCACAGATAGTGCGCCGAGGGATTAAATATAGCGAGAGCCGCTCTTCGCAGGCTGGCAAACCCGCGAGGCTGCAGATGCTGGTAAGGGAGAAGTTTTCTGTTCGATTCACACGTTGGGGGACGACCTCCCTGACAGGGAGCGTGACAGGGACAGACATTGTGCCACCTCCTGCGCTGTGGCAGGGGGAAGGAGAGGCTGGAGGGCTGGGGCTGGCACAGCGAGCACAGGGCCTGCAGCCCCTAGCACTGCCAGGAAGGGATTTCAGGTGAGGACTGTGGGGTCAGTCCCTCATGGGACCAGTGCTGCCCTAAAAGCATCCCAGAGCCAATTCCATCACAGGGCACTGAGCGCCTGCAGCCAGCGGGTGAGACCCCAGGGTGAATTTCCACCTTCCCCAGGCAATGCTTGTGTTCCACACACAGTGAGCTGCTTTTGTTTCACACACAGTGAGCTGCCACCCCCTGCTCTGTACCCTCGGCAGCCACAGGTACGGGTGGCAGCAGTGCCAGTCCCACACAGGACCCCAAGGGACCCGCCACCTCACGCCACCCCGCCCTCCCCAACATGGCGGCCTCCTGCCGCCGCCACTACCAAGATGGCGGGCGGGCGGGTGGGCGGGACCACGCCTCCTGCCAGCCAATAGGCGAAGGGAGCGCCTGGGCGGCCAGCCAATGGCGGCGCGGAGCGGGCGGGTTGGTTTGGCGGGCAGCGGCTGGGCGCCGCCATGATGGCGGGCACGGGAGGGAGCGAGCTGAGGGCGCTGCTGGGTGGGTGCGGGACGGGGCCGCCCTGGCGCTTGGGGGAGAGGGCTGAGTTCGCCCTCTGTGCCGGACAGCTCGCCCCTCATCTGGTTTGGGGCTCCCTGGGGCTCCAGGCAGCCCTGTCCTAGCCCCTCGGGTGCCCCCAGCCCTTCAGGTGCTGTCTGGCCCCCTCAGGAGCTGCTCGCAGAGCCTTGAGGTGGGGGTGTCCTGAGGTGGGGGTGTCCTGAGGTGGGGGTGTCTGGTAAAATTTGGCTTGGGCAAGGCCAAGGCCAATGGCGCAGTGCCTGGCAGCCTTGGCTGCACTGGGCTCCTCATGCCAATGTGTGCTGAAGGCCGCAGGCTTCATGGGCCTTGCTGCCCTGTGCTGTGTGTGAAATGATCTTCCCAGTTTCTGCCCGCTGAGGGTCTGGCCAGGGCCCTCTCGGCGCTGTCAGTGATGTGTGGTGGGGCAGCAGGGTGGGAGAGGGAGATTGCCTCATCAGCGGGGGCCAGAGCACGCTTTGGTTTTAAAATAAACCCAAACTTCTCAGCAGGGAGAGCCAGGAAACGAAGAAGCACCTTTGGGAGCGGAGCAGAGCTCTGTCAAGCAGCTCTGCGGCTTCTGGACCGCCATCAGAACCTGAACGACCTCCTCCTGGAGGTAGGAGCGGGGCAGGGACCTCGGGAGATGCCTGCTGGAGAGGGATTTCCATCAGGGTCATTCCCAGAGCAGCTGTGAAATGTCCCAGGAACACATTTTTCATGATAAGTGAAAAGGAAAAAACAGCACTGTGGAACTAAGCTGAAGCTTAGAGGTCTGCTTTGCAGAAATTAGACCCTTTTTTTGGTTATTGTTATAGGCTAAAAATGGTCAAGCATGGGACAAATGGATAAATGGAAATCCAGCACCTGTCTGGGTGCCAGAATTGCCTTTTTGTGTGTATAGGGGGAAAAAAAAGCCTGGAAAGGCTATTAGATTTCTGAATTAGCCAACCGTTTCTGACTAACGTGACTTTCTTTATGAAGACATGTTTGATTTGTCTGCGTACGTGCTTAAGCCAAGATTCTATCTTGGCCATGTTCTACCATCTCCTCCCTACTAGAGAAAATTTTTGATTTTGGTAACTGGAGTAGGCAATTCCAATACTTCCCATGGTTCAGCCACAAGAATGTTTCTTTCTCTAGAGAATGTGTGTCTTTATTTAAAAGCAGATAGTAAGGGGAGGGGTGATTTAGCTATAAAAGGATGCAAAGTTTTGCTGTGTTCATCGAATATTTATGATACTGTAACTGCACAGACAAGATTTCTGGTGCTGATCTGGTGGGTAACTATGGACAAGGAACTTTGACCTGTTTCTCGCTTTCTCTGAATAAAAGGAACGTATTTATATCTCTTGCAAGGTGCCTTAAAATCCATGGTTTACCATGACTGTGCAGGAGCATGGCTGTTAATTTCATGTCAATTGCTCCAGCCCCATAGAATACCAGAGCTGCTAAATATGCTTTGGAGGGAATATATTTGTAAAAGTGTGTAACAGACATCCAAGACTGTTAATGTTTTTGTTTTGTGTGCAGGTGGAAGATTTAGTCAAGCCAGCTGGAGAGAGTGGCAAAGAGCACCAGGAAGCATTGTCAGAATCATTTATTGGTG